AAATGGACCTAGTATGCCTATGTAAAATAAGTCTGTGATGTCCTTAGAGTGTGTAGTGAAATGTCAGCTCAAAGTAGCACACAGATAATGCTTTATAACTCTTTGAAACGGACCCTATTAGGCTTTGATACTAATTGTGGAGTTTTGGTGACTGTCGCTTTAAATTCAAATGAGATCGTGCTCTTTTCAAAAGAGGGCGGAGCTACAAATGCCTATGAGTCAGCATAGTGGCAGATTCAAAAACAAGACTATTGTCCTATGCTAATGAGGGGGAGATCTTCACTAGTGGGCGGGGCTTTCCCTTTCTGATGACACGTATAAACGGAGAATGTCGATCAAAGTGTTTCTCCAGACAGTTTTAATCAAGTGTGATCATAAAAATAGAATTAATTAATGTTTACTATTACAGGGTGGATATATTCTCACACTTTTGCCACACAACTGTGTTTAAACCCCTTATAAAAGTATTTTCTTTGCATTTTAGGTCGTCTTTAAGACAGCACTGCCAGGCTTCCCTTTGTCCTCTTTCCCAATAACTCATTTGTTTCATAATCATAACTTTAAATATTAATAACTGATTACCACAACATTTCAGGTAACACTTTACAATAAGATTGTATTAGTTAATGTATTTATTAACATGATCAAACAATGAACAACACAGTTATTACAGTGTTTAATCATGCTAGTAAATGAAAATAAAGTCATTCAATGTCTGTTCATGAATGTAACAAGCATTGATTTGATGAATGAATATTGAACTATGACTAATAAAGGCTGTACATGTTTTGTAAATCATTAGTTGGTGTTAGTAAACTGATGAAACCTTATTGAAATGTGTGTCCAACATTTTACTGTGCATCATGCATGCATTAAACTGACTTTTAATTGTTGGTCATATGGGAACTTGTGTTCATTTAAAGATGCAGTATGTAAGTTTGACACCCAGTGGATGAACTAGGTATTGCATGCCTGGTTCAAAACACACGCAAGAGCAGGTTGCCAGATTGACAACATCAACAGGAGTGTGCCTTACTCTCGAGCCTAACGCCCCATTCACACGGGGCTTCAGCGTCAACGCTTGACTGAAGGTGTGTCTGAAGTTGGGCCTGATGCGATCGTCATAGCAGCGTCAGCCAATGAAATTCAGTCAGCAATAGGCAGGGCCAGACGGAATCTGTGGACGTTTTTTGCTATTTCTGCGGAGAATTTTGGTAAAAATCTGCAGATTTTGCGGAATTATTTTGGGAGTATCCAGCAGAGTATCATGACTAAACCCTTATTTTATTAAATAAAAAGTAATAAATTACTGAATAAAAACTGAATAAATTCAAATTTACACATTTACTCAAGTTAAAAAACAGAATTAATAATGGGCTAAAAATCTGCAGAAATCTGCGGAATTATGCGGAAAATCTGCAGAAATTCTGCGGAATTCTGCGCGCAAATTCCGTGTGGGCCTACCAATAGGCCACTGTCTAGCTGGTGTATTTGCATACAGCGATCTGATTGGCTGACGCTTTTGTCTGCGCTTGAAAAGTTGAGCTAGTCCCAACTTCTGCAGCGAGCAACGCCTCTGAAGCAGCGCCGACGGATCCACAATGCAGTTCGGCAATGCCTGACGCCACCCATTTAAAGTGAACGGGAAGCGTTGATGATGAAGATCTTTGTGAACGGGGCTAATTTAAATCATGAAGGAATATTCATAGAAGGAATATTCTCCATATTAAAAGGTGTTTTTGTCCTAACCAACACCTCAAATTAATTTATTAGAAACGGCTTCAACTTCTTGCAGCTAAACAAAACGATCACCTCATGTACTCTATTCAGTGTTAAATGCTAATAATGTGAGTCTGAATGCCATTTTACATGATATTTATTGCCATACAACTGAAGGCAGCAGCAGATAGTTCACCTCAGATCTGGAAAATAAAATAAACCGTTTGAAATTAAACTTCAGAACTGTGACTCAGTGCAAGCCAACACATATCAGTGATTAGGCATGTGCATTAATAATGTTAGAGGTTTAATATGTACTAATTAGATTATAAACCATACCTTTTTGTTGGGCGTGCAGTAAGTGCACTATTCTGTGCTTCTGAATGACTTTATTTACATTTATGTCGTATTTCGTCTGATGCAAACAGCCAAATTGCCTATCACTGCGTATCTTGTCGCATGGCGTGTTATTAGGACACAGGTTACAATTTAACCTGCTGACCTAATGTTTAGGTTTTTAATATTTATATTATTTGCTAATTGCTAATTAACAACCTAATGTGGAACTCTGAATCTGCATCTCATTTTGGAGTCGGCCACTGTCCAAAGGGGATCGTGAACACATGCTTACAGAGCCTTTCTGACTGAATGAAGGAAATACGCTGTTTTCCACTAAGTCAACCTGGGCTGCTGAAATATAATTGGCTGAACTGGCAGTGGGAGGGTTAGAAGCATCAAAACAAAGACAGAAGCTCCGGCATGTAACGCACATTTTCAAAGCAGGATATCTGACTTCAGCATTGTTTTACAGATAAACAAGAATGCTCATTTAGCATGTTTCCTAAACATCTGCAAATATATGATGGTATTTTTATGCTTTAGAGTCAAAAACGTACATACAGCACCTTTAACAGCTAAAAGTGATAGAAGAGTAAATTAAAATGAGTAGTAGTAGAGTTGTAAATGAAACGTCATTTCATGAGGATTCTATATAAATCAGTGGCTACAACACATCTGTTTATACGTCGCTGTTATGAAGGTCACAGTTCCAGTTTTGAGTTTCAGAAATGAGCTTGAGACGTGAAATCCTTCAAACGGAAGAGTGTTGTGGAAACTTACAGAGAACACAAAACATTATGACAGTGTGCTTGTGTAAAAAAGCAAACAGTGTTTCCTATAGTATTTTGTCTTCTGGAGAAAGTCTTATTTGGTTTATTTCGGCTAGAAGAAAAGCAGGTTTATTTTTTAAAACCATTTTAAGGTCAATATCATTACCCCCCTTAAGCAATATTTGTTTTCAATTGTCTACAGAACAAACCACTGTTATACAATGACTTGCCTAATTACCCTAACCTGCCTAATTAACCTAGCTAAGCCTGTCACTTTAAGCTGAATACTAGTATCTTTAAAAATATCTAGTCAAATATTCTATACTGTCATCATGGCAAAGATAAAAGAAATCAGTTATTAGAAAGGAGTTAATAAAACTATTATGTTTAACAAAATATTTCTGTAATAATTCAGGAGAGCTAATAATTGACTTCAACTGTATATGTCAATAAACAAATAGGCTATATTGGCTATATATATATACTAAACTCTGTCAGTATAAGTCGAGTATACTTCAGTGCAATAAGTACATTTCTGAGAAGTACATAAAAAACCAGCTGAAAGTGACTAATAGTGAAAGTCTACTAAACTGCTTTTTCTTAAAGGATTAGTGAAGCCGAATCAGTGAAAGCTGTTCAGTTTTCTGTTTATAATGCAACACTGTGGGGTTTTCCCTCTTGATGGGTGTTTGGAGATTCCCTAGGAGAGCTCCCTGATCGTCACACAACCACGCTTCACACGATCTGATTGACATTCACAGCTTTTGATTAATCAGAGCTTTCTTTTTAATTAATCATCCAGCTAATAAATACATTATTTAGGCAAATGCAACATTTCAACTATTTGGAGCTAGGGATAAATACACTCACCGGCCACTTTATTAGGTACACCTGTCCAACTGCTCGTTGACGCAAATTTCGAATCGGCCAATCACATGGCAGCAACTCAATGCATTTAGTCATGTTGACATGGTCAAGACGATCTGCTGCAGCGTCAGAATGGGGAAGAAAAGGGATTTAAGTGACTGAACGTGGCATGGTTTCTGGTGACAGATGGGCTGGTCTGAGTATTTCAGAAACTGCTGATCTACTGAAATTTTCACACACAACCATCTCTAGGGTCTACAGAGAATAATCAGTAAAAGAGGAAATATCCAGTGAGCGGCAGTTCTGTGGGCGCAAATGCCTTGTTGATGCCAGAGGTCAGAGGAGAATGGCCAGACTGGTTCCAGCTGATAGAAAGGCAACAGTAACTCAAATAAGCACTCGTTACAACCGAGGTCTGCAGAAGAGCATCTCTGAACACACAACACGTCCAACCTTGAGGCGGATGGGCTACAGCAGCAGAAAACACACCGGGTGCCGCTCCTGTCAGTTAAGAACAAGAAACTGAGGCTACAATTCACACAGATGAGTCTCGATTTTTGTTGCCACATTCGGATGGTCGGGTCAGAATTTGGCATCAACAACATAAAAGCATGGATCCATCCTGCCTTATATCAATGGTTCAGGCTAGTGGTGGATGTGTGATGGTGTGTAGAATGTTTTCTTGGCACACTTTAAGCTCATTAGTACCAATTGAGCATGGTGTCAAAGCCACAACCTACCTGAGTATTGTTGCTGACCATGTCCATCTCTTTATGAGCACAGTGTACCCATCTTCTGATGCCTACTTCCAGCAGGATAACGCACCATGTCATAAAGCGTGAATCATCTCAGACTGGTTTCTTGAACATGACAATGAGTTCACTGTGCTCAAATGGCCTCCACAATCACTAGATCTCAATCCAATAGAGCACCTTTGGGATGTGATGGAACAGGAGATTCGCATCATGGATGTGCAGCCGACAAATCTGCAGCAACTGCGTGATGCTATCATGTCAATATGGAGCAAAATCCCTGAGGAATTTTTCCAGTACCTTGTTAAATCTACGCCATGAAGGATCAAGGCAGTTCTGAAGGCAAAAGGGGGTCCAACCTGGTACTAGTAAGGTGTACCTATTAAAGTGGCCAGTGAGTGTAGCCATGCTAAAACTGTGCTATTCTTTCAGTATAGCTTTATCATAACACCTATCAATCTTTATGGAAAATGCTGAGTGCTTAGAAAACAGTGTGTTTTGCAATGCAAGCAAAAACGAGCCATTCGATAGAAGAAAAAAAAAGACACGAGAATTAGAAACAAGTAAACTCACATCTTTTACTGATGCACATTAATGGTTTTTACAAAAGACATGTATGGAAGTCCTAGAGCCTCAGCATTCAGAAGTGCGGTAAGAACGAGACTCGTGTTTAAAAAGCAAAAAAAAAAAACAAGAGGCAGAAGAAACGTGCCGGATTTCTTAAATTAACTACATACAACTATATCTCACAGTATATGAACATTAAACGTATTATAAAACAAAGCAATAAAATAGGCTTCTTGATAGAAAAACATCTTTTATAATTTTCTTTTTTTTTTGTAATATATATATATATATATATTTAGAGTGACGATTAGCCCTGTCTATTGAACAACAGACAAACTGCAACAACCTTACTTTCTCCAAATGCTGTCGGCTAGAAAAGTCCAAACAGGCAAAACGACGGCCTCCTCAGCTTTCAGAAGAGCATTTCAGTCTCTAGAGCTCGGCTACTGCAAGGACAAAGATGACAGTTCATTAAAGCACAGCTGAGAAGTGCAAAAATAGCTTATTAAAACCACGGGGCTTTTGATCAAATATGGACAGCAGTGAGAGCTACATTAATGGAAACCTGGAAATGAGATAGTGTGGAACCAGAGTAAGCAACGCAGGGCTCTGAACAAGCTGTGAAAAACCCAGATTCTTGGCATTTTGCTGTGACTCCTTCCAGGAAACAGAACACACCCATGAACTCCCTCATTATGAACCATTACTCCGACAGCACTGGAACTCATATTGCAGAAGGTATTTAGAAAGCACCAGGTAATAAATAAGCTTGTAAAAAATGACACGCTGAATTCATTATGTTCCAAATAATGTACAATATTCGAGATCTCGACTTAAAAACAGGAGATCTGACTGTATAGAATGCAATGGCACGTCCTTTCGGTAAAACGCGGGTAGAAACAGCACCCTCAGTTAAAGGTGTAGTTCACACAAAATGTTTATCTATTTACACACCCTCTGCTTGATCCAAACCGGAGTTTCTTTCCTACGCTGAACTCAAAGCAAGACAGTTTAAAGATTATCAGAAACCTGTAACCATTGACTTTAATACACTCTCAGAAATAAGGGGAGCTGTCACTGGTTAAAAAAAAGGTCCACAATAATACATCAAATGTACATTTTGGGCACATCAGGGTGCTAAAATGCATCTTTGAGGTACCAAAATGAAATGTTTTTATGGAAGTCAATGGTTACAGGTTTCTGATATCTTTAGCCACTCTCACAAATAAAGGTACAGGAAGCTGTCACTGGAACAAAAGATCCATAATAGTACATCAAATGTACATTTTAATCACATCAGGGTACTAAAATGCACCTTTGAGGTACCAATGTGGACTGTTTGGCTAAAGAATGTCAGTAATCTGTAACCATTGACCTCTATACACTACAGAAATAAAGGTGCGGGAAGCTGTCATTGGTACACAAGGGCCATAATCTTACATCAAATGTACATTTTAATCACATCAGGGTACTAAAATGCACCTTTGAGGTACCAATATGGACTGTTTGGCTAAGGAATATCAGAAACCTGTAACCATTGACCTCCATATACTCTCAGAAATAAAGGTACAAGATGTCACTGGTACTACAGGTCAATAATGGTACATCAAATGTACATTTTGAGTATGTCAAGGTACTAAAATGCACCTTTGAGGAACCAATATGTAATGTTTGTATGGAAGCCAATGGTTACAGGTTTCTGATGTCTTTAGCCACTCTCAGAAATAGATAAGAGAAGCTGTCACTGGTACAAATAGGCCATAATGGTACATCAAATGTACATTTTGGGCATATCAGGGTACTAAAATGCACCTTTGAGGTACTAATATGGACTATTGGCTAAAGAATATCAGAAACTTGTAACCATTGACCTCCATACACTCCAAAAATAAAGGTAAGAGAAGCTGTCACTTGTAAAAAGGTCCATAACTTTACATCAAATGTACATTTTCGGGCACATCAGGGTACTAAAATGGACCTTTGAGGTACCAATATGGACTGTTCAGCTAACGAATATCAGTAACCTGTAACCATTGACCTCCATACACTCCAGAAATAAAGGTACAGGAAGCTGTCACTGGTACAAAAGGTCCATAATAGTACATCAAATGTACATTTTGGCCACATCAGGGTGCTAAAATGCACTTTTGAGGTACCGATATGAAATGTTTGTATGGAAGTCGGTGGTTACAGGTTTCTGATATTCCTTAGCCACTCTCAAAAATAAAGGTACAGCAACCTGTCACTGGTATAAAAGGGCCATAATGGTACATCAAATGTATATTTTGAGCACATCGGTGTACAAAAATGCACCTTTTAGGTACCAATATGGACTGTTTGGCTGAATAATATTAGAATTCTGTAACCACTGACTTCCATACGTGCTCAGAAATGGTACAGGTAGCTGTCACTGGTACAAAAGGTCCATAATGGTACATCAAATGTACATTTTAAGCATATCGAGGTGCTAAAATGCATCTTTGAGGTACCAAAATGGACTGTTTGTATGGAAGTCAATGGTTACGTTTCTGATATCTTTAGCCACTTTCAGAAATAAAGGTACAGGAAGTTGTCATGGTACAAATAGGCCATAATGGTACATCAAATGTACATTTTGAGCTCTACAGGGTACTAAAAGAGACCTTTGAGGTACCAATATGGACTGTTTGGCTGAAGAATATTAGAAATCTGTAACCATTGACTTCTATACACGCTCTGAAATAAAGGTACTTCCTGTCATTGGTACAAATAGGCCATAATAGTACATTAAATGTACATTTTGAGCACTACAGGGTACTAAATTAGACATTTGAGGTACCATTATGGACTGTTTGGCTACAAATGTGTACCTTTTGAAAAGGTACCACCCCACTGACAGCTCCCATGCCTTTAATTCGGAGTGTAGTATTTGTTTCCTACTATGAAAGTCAATGGTTGAATCGGTTTCCAACATTCTCCAAAATATCTTTGTAAATTCAGCTGAAAAAAGAACTTATTAAGGATTAAAACCACTTAAAGATGAGCAAATACGGATCATATTTTACATTTCTGAGTGAACTATCCCTTTAAGTGAAATAAATTAATGTTTAATTTGATGAAAGTAGATATTTATGAACAAATATTCTGTATTAAATGCTCACGTGTGTTTTCTCGAGTGTGTTTGGGACAGTTTCACAGCGCTGAGGTTAAAGGGTGTCAAACACACCCCAAGAAAAAGCTGCACTGTGTGTAAAAGACGCTGTGAAACTTTCTGCCACGCCTGCAGACGAGAGTTCAAACCCATCCAGACGTCTGCTTCCCGCCAGATGATCGCTACTGACGCTGGCAGGGGCTGCTGGAAGAGTGCTGGTGGTTTTGGGTGAAGGCCATGTCTGTCGCTGCTGGTTACTCCATGATTGCTCTGTAGATGACGGGCTCGATGTAGTCTCCTCTGTACCTGGAGTTGATCACTCGCTGCCGCTTGCTCTCCTGGACCTTCTTCTCTCCAAACATCCCGTCAAAGCGCATGTCCGAGGCCTTAGACTGCATAACACACATGCGCAAATCAATAGAATGCACTAGTGCCCACATATTTTCAGCAGCACTAGTTCCTAAAGATATAAAAAATTTTCCATAAAACAATAATAAAGCACTGTAGGGATGCACAGAAATAGAAACCGAAAATTCTGTTCAAATATAATATAACGAAAATAAAATATAAAATTATGAAGTCATTTTGTAAGACGCTTTAAATGTAACTTAATAACATAAGTTATGATTAAATAACCACGTTTTATTGACAGTTAAAGTTTATTGACCGTGAACGAGCTGAGAGGCATCAATTAGCCTTGCGCTATTATAAGCAGCAGGAATACACGTGCACTGCATAGAAATGTCCTTTTGAGCAGATTGTGCATTTCTAATGAGCATGTGAGGTTCATGCATACACAACAGGTGCGCAAGCTAGATGAGGGTGCATTTAGTTGTTTGCTATTTGGTCGGCACAGCAACAAATCGTCATTGTGTGTTGCAAGCCATTGGAATGAATGAATTCATAATGCAGCAGATTCTGCATCCAGTGTGAAAGCCACTTCAGACTGTACAGCGACTATGGCTGGAGGGAGAGCGAAACCAGTGCTGAGCAGTTTGATATTGATAACTTGTATTTGTTACTATATTTCCTTAATTCAATAATTGTTATAGCTGGAAACTGACTGGCTTTTGAACAGGGTTCCTGCAGGTTTCTTCAAGTTAAATTTAAGACTTTTTAAGAACCTTTTAAGACCATTATGAATGAAATTTTAGACTGGGATAAGGATTTTTTCCAATGGCCCGATTAATTTCTGTAGATACTTTTTGTATTATTGGAAGATCATGTAAAGGGATGTGTTGCTTTAGTTTTCTTTCCCTGATTAGGGCATTTAATTTGGAGAATTTGCTGTTAAAATAATTATTGGTTATTGGGTTATACAGTTGAAGTCAGTTATATTGGTTATACAGTTGAAGTCAGAATTATTCGCCCCACTTAGATTTTTTTTCTCTTTTTAAAATATTTCCCAAATTATGTTTAACAGAGAAAGGAAATTTTCACAGTATGTCTGATAATATTTTTTCTTCTGGAGAAAGTCTTATTTCTTTTATTTTGGCTAGAATAAAAGCAGGTATTAATTTTTTTAACACCATTTTAAGGACAAAATTATTAGCCTCTTTAAGCTATTTTTTTCCCGACTGTCTACAGAACAAACCATCATTATACAATAACTTGCCTAATTACCCAAACCTGCCTAGTTAACCTAATTAACCTAGTTAAACCTTTAAATGCCACTTTAAGCTGTGTAGAAATGTATTGAAAAATATCTAGTCTAATATTATTTACTGTCATCATGGCAAAGATAACATAAATCTGTTATTCGAAATGAGTAAACTTTTATGTTTAGAAATGTGTTGAAAAAATTGGCTCTCCGTTAAACAGAAATTGGGGAAAAATTTCAGCAACCTAAAAGATCAACAAGCTGCTATGTTTAACTATTATCATCACCTTTTGGACTATTATGAACTCAGATTGATGGAATTACTCTGTAACAGAGGTTACATGTGCTGGTGAAGGTTAAAGATACAGATGAGAGGTCCGCACTAACTGTGGGCTATCTTTTGCATGTTGTTTTTGAACCCAAATAAGGACTAAATGTATATGCTGTGTGTAGTTTTTCTGTAATTGGTAACATATCAGAGATTCTCAGGGTCTGTATGTGTTCACATATTGACATCGACTGAAACTTTCTGTCGTACACCACGCCCACCAAAAGAGCACCATTGGTACCCTTTTGGCAGTGGAAACGCTAGCCCGATAAAGGTGACCCAAACCGACCCGTACCTTATCGTACTGTACCACTCAGTGGAAACCAGTTGAAATTTAAGACATTTTAAGACTCCGCGAACACCCTATTAAAGCAAACCGTTTTGTTGCTTCCCTATAGCTAGGCCCATTCTGCAGATTTCTGCAGATTTTTAGCCCATCATTAATTCTGTTTATTACTTGAGTAAATGCATAAATCTGAATTTATTCAGTTTTTATTCAGTAATTTATTACTTTTTATTTTATATATCAAGGTTTTAGTTATTATACTCCGCTGGATACTCCCCAAAAAATTCCGCAGAAATCTTCAGATTTTTACCAAAATTGTCCGCAGAAATAGCAAAAAACGTTCGCAGATTCCGTCTGGCCCTGCCTATAGCAGACAACGGATTACTGATAGCAAGTTGCACACAATCCAATAAAAATATTACCTCCACCTCCACAAAATGTGGATAAGTAACTGATAAAAAGTCTCTCATTTTTTCAGTACAGTTGGCAGCTTTCCACAATGCCTCTCTGATTAGTTTTCTGGACTATTGCGTAACGTTTCCTGATTTGTTAAGCCTTGCTCATGTGACCTTTACAAAGTCAGTAGACTGACAGAGTGTAAATTATCACGTATTATGTGTTTTAAGGTGTATCAAACATACTGAGATGTGCGATTGTCCCCTATCCCCTGACAGCTCAGTACAGTGGAGATTGCTTAAGGTATAGTATTTTGAGTTGTTTGGGACGCAGTGACAAACAGCCGAATCTTTTGCTGAACAGATCCACTGATTTGATGCTCATAAGTTTTCTTAAAAGTCATTGTGCCGCAGATTAGATTTGCTGAAATGCGTGTTCATTGAAATGTAAGAATGAGTAATAAACCCATATGAAACTGTCCCTTAAATATGACAATAGCTATGTTTCTATCCAAAATGTGAATAAACTTTTTGCGCAAAACTGGATTATCGCATAAAAGTTGCGCGAATGAAACATCGTTTCCATTAGGGGTGTCAAATTTAATTGTTTCTTCGGTGCACCGCGATGCAGACGCGGACAATTCGGTATCGATTCAGTAATAACCATAACCGGTTATTATGTAGTGACGTCATTTATCTCCTATGCGCTCTGTCGCGAGGGAGGCGAGCGCCGTTATTTACAACACTCAGCCAACTCAGGGCCGGCCTGTGGCATAGGCACCATAGGCAAATGCTTAGGTGCCAGAAATGAGCGCGCATCAGTTGGTTTTGTTTTCGATTTTCCTGACACACATTCAGTTATAGACGGCAATAACTCAAAAACCTCTTACCCTAAAAAGATCTCAAGTGTGTTTCCTACAGAAAGACAAAGCTGGTTATGTTTCACAGCTGTCTTTCTTTTTTTCGCTCGACATTACGAGCACTGCTCCGTTTAAGCCCTCGCAGTCTGCGTTTACTTTAGCCGGCAGAGCTCGCGCTGAGAGGAGCTCTCTGTAAGGGACTGTCGGAAAAGTGCTTATTTTTTTCTGTTTTTCTGCTCCACTCAGCACGAGCTCTCCCTGTTGCAAGGGCTTAAGTGTGCTTGTTTGTGTGTGTGTGTGTTTGTTTGTTTGTTTGTTTGATGCTGTCTAAGTTTGTGAATGTGTTTGAATGAGAGACAGTGTGTTGCTGTGTGTCTGTGTGTTTATACAGACAGCATGTTATAGCCTCCCCCCTAAAATATAACACTATATATGGAAAGCACCGTCAATGCACCGTGATGCACCGAGATATCGAATTGAACCGAATCGATGGCATGATAATCGTAACCGAACCGAACCGTGAGACCAGTATAGGTTCACACCTCTAGTTTCCATCCAACGAGTCAAAGCAAACAAAATCGTCACTTCCTGATTAACTGGCGCCAAATATCAACAGTAAAAACTGCAATTGCTGCAGTAGAAGAAGCTTCATCAATCTTTCCTAAATGAATGCGCCTCAGAAGACAATCCTGACAAGCAGTGAGCGCGCAGTGGCATTTGAAGGTGTCAGACGCGGAGCACAGGCGCTCTTGATTCTAGGGGTCATTAATAATATAATAACATTAATACTGAAATGGTAAGGCGTTTTATAACGACCAAAATAACATTTCAGATGTTTTATAATGTGCTCAACCTGACGTTTTATCCATTCACACACATTTTAAGCATCACATGATCTCTTTTAACAAAATCACATGACCTTTTTTAATGCGCATGCTGGAGTTTGTGTGGTAAAAGTGTTTCCATCGCAGTTTATGCGCATCTTTTCTTATCGAATAAAAAGTTTATCCTACCCAGTTAGGCGCATAAGTTTTTTATGCGTATTTTCAAAATTTATGCGCATCATGGCGTTTCCATTAACCGTTTTTTTTATGCGCATATGCAAAATGCGCATAAAATAGGTGGATGGAAACAAAGCTATTGAGAATACAGTTTTGTGCTTGGGTGCTCTTTGCGACCCACCAATTGAACGTTAAATAAACAGGGATGTGGGACTCAAACGCTCCTGGTTACAGTTTGTTTGCTGAATGTTTTAAAACGCACTCCTTCAGGGACTACGCTGTACTGTTACCTTTTTTATTAGTATAACTTGCAATATCTCTAATATAGAGATCTCACCAGACGTGATTTGACCCTTTTGGGCAGCTCTTCATCAAGGGTGTAGACGTCATCTCTCTTAGCAGTCAGCAGAGATCCATCCTCAAACTCCACCTGAAGAAGAGCAGTGGTTTATTATTCAGCTCAACACAGACATATAATAGTTCAGCTTTTCTCTTTGACATTTACCTGATACATCTGAATAACATGAGCTGCCACGAATTTGGCTCCATAGACGAGACCGTCGGTCCATCTGACTTGAACCACTTCACCCTGCGGTGGCGGACCCAGCTGAGCACAGTCCCGGTTCTACACAAAAACATGACAATGCATTTACAATGCATTAAAACATCATTTTCTAGCCACAGCCACGCATCATTCTCGAAATGTATAGTTTGTCTAAAGTGATGTATACAAACTATATATTATACTAGGGCTGAGCAGGGATGCAATCAGTTGGCGCAGTCGACACTCTATAGTCAAAAGCGACATTTTGTGTCTGCTGGTTTGTTTACTTGCGGGAGTTCCAGTGGCATTTTCCCGCATGTTAATTCTGACCAATCGAAAAGCAGTTTAGGAAATACGATTAACAACATCTGGCCAATGAGTGAAGTGGATTTCAACTGGTTTGGACCAAAGCAATCAGTGTGGTGTGAAAAGGACCCAAAGACAGCCGAAAATGCTACAATGCATCATTTGTTGCCAACAGTCCAGACCACATGAACCAAACCACAGATGTGAAAGCACCGATAAGAGATTTCTTTCAAAAACTGACCCCAAACCTTTAAGCACTAGCAAAGAGCTTAGAATGACCAAGAGGCGACACTCTAGTGTAATTTGGGAAACACCCACTAGAGGGCGCGACGGCCATTTTGGAATGAAAACTCCAATAGAACAACAGCATATTATAAGTCTGTTAAATAAACTATTAAAAGTGCTGATGATTGTGATAATAAGTGTTGTATTGTCGTCTTTAAGGTTGTATCTCAGTTTTAATGCACTTTTTAAAAAGATAAAAAACAAAGCAGCTGCTTGCCATCGCGACAGTAATGAGATCCAATGGACGACTGATCACTTTCACTCCAAAATGGTGGAATCCGGAGCTGTTTCTGGGCGCTGCTGTTGCAATGGAGCGTTCTATTGAGTGTCGCCTCTTGGTCATTCTAAGCTCTTTGGCACTAGTGTGATCTCCTTACAGTCCTTCCTATAACTTTTCCACAACGTTTCTTGCGCAAAACTTTTCACATATTTCCCTGATTTCCTCAAGGGAATTTAATAATTAGTAAATCTACTGTTAAATGCAGATTTTATACTATAGCCGCTGCAGAGAACATACAAAATGCACCATGACTTGTCTCTTACCACAATATCCTCTGGGAAAAGGTTATCGCTGAAGGAGCCATCATCAAAGTTGACCTCATAAAAAGTCTCTTTTGTCAGCTGTATGACTTCACACTGGTAGTAGCGTCCGTTTTTGTGCTTGCAGATGACCCTTTGGCCCACGCTGAGCTCTCTCATGGCTGACTTATTACGCTGCAGGAAAAACACACAGATCACAATTAAGGCTCTTTCAATTCTGTTTTATACCTCAGATTCCACATTTTCAGTCTGAAGTTTTTGAAATCTCTTTTACTGATTATAAATGATGGTCACTGAATGGAAGGAAAGACAGATGCTTCTTCAGTTAAAGTAATGCACTTATAATAATATATTTCTAACAGAGGACAATTTCCATAATTTGTTTGTACTGTTTATTATTCAAACACACACAATGAGGACGCAGCAGAATCTGGTCATAAAATTGTAGATGAATAATTCAAAGGCAGTGCTGTACACCTTATTGAATGGGGATATGGGCTGCTGTTGTCAATATTAAAATGCAAGAAACTGTTCAAATGAGAGATTTGCAAATTTCACTTGTGAAAGAAAGATGCAGTCTGGTTTACTAAAAGCAATCTGACGTGCGTGTGATGCTTTCTGAGCAAACAAACTCATGACCGTTATTGCCAGAGCTGATCTGAGAGTCAAGGTCAACTTTATATGTATAGCACTTTAAAACAACATGAATGTTGAGCAAAGTGCTTCACAAACATGGCCAAAATAATTAAAGAGACAGGACAATATATGCTACAATAAAATTTAAAAAATAAAAATAAAATTTAAAACATTGGCACAATCATGAGTCACTTAAAAATAAAATTATATCAGTAGGCCAAAGTGAAGAGGTACGTTTTGGCTGATTTTTTAAAAACGCTTAATGAAGAGTCACGTTTTGTTTACTAAAATTTGTGATACTTTAGTTTAGGTCACAATTCATGGTATTAACAAACCATTGACTAGTAGTAGTAGCTTAATAAACTACTAATTAGCTGTTTACTAATAGATAGTATGGTAAAAGTTAGGTAATGGGTAGAATTAGGGATGCAGAATAAGATCATACTTAATAACAACTAATGAACGATTAATATCCTAATAATAGGTAAGTAATAAGTAGGCCCACACAGAATCTGAGCATGCAGAATTTTGCAGATTTTGAGCCCATCATTGATTGTTTATTTACTTGAGTAAATGTGTCTGAATTTAAATTTATTCCGTTTTTTAATTAATTTAATATTATTGACTAATATGAAAATATTTATGTGATTTATTTACAGTATAGTTTGTAAAGTAATGTTTTCAAGTCGCCTCACAGCAAGAAGGTCGCTGGTTCGATCCTTGGCTCAGTTTTCGTTTCTGTGTGGAGTTTGCATGTTCTCCCTGCATTTGCGTGGGTTTCCTCGGGGTGCTCCGGTTTCCCCCACAGTCCAAAGACATGCGGTACAGGTGAATTGGGTAGGCTAAATTGTCCGTAGTGTATGAGTGTGTGTGTAAATGTGTGAACCCAAAGATGGGTTGCGCCTGAAAGGGCATCCGCTGCGTAAAAATGTGCTGGTTAACTTGGCGGTTCATTCCACTGGGGCGACCCCGGATTAGTAAAGGGACTCAGCCGACAAGAAAATGTATGAATGAATGAATGAATGAAGTAATGTTTTCTGTCTTTTAGTAGATCTATTATATAAGAAACTTGCTTTGTTTACCAAATATAGTGGATCTAATTGGATTTGCATTGTTAACATTAAATACAAGTTAAAATGTATTACTTTTTAGTTTATATATTAGGGTTTTAGTTATTAAACTCTTAAAATCATTCCACATAAATCCACAGATTTTTTTTTTCCACAGACAATTCTGCGCAGAAATAGCAAAAAATGTCCGCAGATCCTGTCTGGAACTAGTAATAAGTCAGTAGTTAATAGCATGAATTGTGACCTAAATTAAAGTGCTACCAAATTAGTTTTAACTATTGACATGGAGTCAAGAAATATTTAAAACAAATATTTAAAATGAAAGCAAAACTGAATTTAATGTTGTTTTTTTACTTACAGAAAAAAAATTATAGATTTATTCTGCTCTACACCAGCTCTAAAATGATTTGAACACTTGTGCCATCAGGGTTCAACGCAAAGGATTTTTTTCTACTGGTCCGATCGGGCCAATGGTTTAGATTTTTACTTGCCAAGCCAAAGATTCCACTGGCCCCACCAAAGAAAAAAATACAATTTAAACGCTATTTTTTAGCCACATATTTTAAATAATGTGTAAAAAATAATGCCTATAATTATTTAAATGTTAAAAATTATTTAAATAATACTTTTAAAATGTCAATATATGTATAATGAACAAAATTATGTGTTAACAAAACAAAAAGAGCAGTATGGAAAATGTGAAGGTATTTTATTTCAGTTCGAAATTATTTAACAAAAAGGTGGCCCCAATCGGGTCAGTAATGATCCTGTCTACTGTCCCAAGCATCTCTCACACTGGCCCCAGGCCATCGGGCAGTCCTTATTGTTGAGCCCTGGCCATGCTTAAAAAAAAGAAACCAGAAACAGGATAAAAGAAGAGACTATTGGACAAACTGCTGAATTTAATGTTTTTTTTTTATTTACTGAAGGAGCAAAAAAAAAAAAAAAAACATTATCTAAATTTATTCTGCTATACACCAGCTATAAAATGATTTGAACATTTGTGCCATGCTTACAAATGTTCAGAAAGGAAACAGGAAACAGGATAGAGGAAGAGACAACTGGGCAAACTTCTACAACCACCTGTTTCAGCCACATCTCATTATATGCAGTTGAAGTCAGAATGATTAGCCCTCCGGAAATACTAGCCACCCTGTATATTTGTCCCCCAATCTCTGTTTAACGAGATAATATTTTTGCAACACATTTCTAAACATAAACGTTTTAATAACTAATTGTTTTTATCTTTGCCATGACGACAGCTAGTATTACTAGTATTCTACTAGCACTGTTGATACTAGTGTTCAGCTTAAAGTGACATTTAAAGGCTTCACTAGGTTAATTAGGCAAGTTAGAGTGATTATGCAAGTCATTGAATAACAGTGGTTTGTTCTGTAGACAATCAAAACAAAAAGGGGGCTAATAATATTGACATTAAAATGGTTTTAAAAAATTAAAAACTGCTTTAATTCTAGCCGAAGTAAATCAAATAAGACTTTCTCCAGAAGAAAAAATATTATAGGCAATACTGTGAAAATTTCCTCGAACTGTTAAACATTATTTGGGAAATATTTAAAGAGGAAAAATTACAGGATGGCTCATCATTTTGGCTTTAACTTTAACAGTCAGATGTACCTCAGACTGTACTGGTCCTTTGTGGCGGCAGCAGGTGACGTAGACGACGAAAGGCCAGTCGTCTGGGTGCATGATGACGCCGGCGGCCTGTGCACAGGTCGGGTGATATGAGGTGGGACAGCGACCGTGAGAACACTGCACACAACAGCCCAGCGTTTTCTTCATCCGCCGCTTGCAGTAGTAGCATTTCTAAAAGCACATACAGCGAGATAAGATCACAGGAAGTCATTGCACAGGAACCGAGACCCAACGGCAGTGCTGATATAAATAACAGCAAAGCACTTCCAGTAAGAGTCAACACCCTAAAGGAAGTTACAAACTGTGTCAAAACATGTCATTGACTTGTGAATTTATTTCACAAGAAGGGCCCGTTTTGGTACAGTTTGTATATAAATATAGAATATAAAACATAATATAGTATTTCATTTTTGATATTAGAAATATAAATAAACAGTCATATACAAACGATAGACATAGACATAAGCCCCTTTCACACAGTGATACCAGTAAATATCTGGAAAATTTCCGGAACGACTTTACCGGTATATTCAAAAAAGCGCTGTTCACACAGGCGAGGACGTTACGGAAATTTTCCAGAAAAGACCGTTCACACATCCATTCCAAAATACCGGTAAATTCTGACATCATTCACCCCAAATGAGCCTTAAACAGCTGCGCTTGTATTTGTAAACATTTGACAACATTATAAACTCTGTTGATGATCAGTATTGTGAACAACTTCGATGAAAACATATGGAGAATCACTTTCCGTGTCGAGATGTTCATTATATGTGTGTGTGCTGGCGCTCACAGGCTGTTTCACAGGCACACGCAAAGCTTGAAGGTAAACAAACAGCGGCTTATCATATGCATCTTATCGATGATTATTTACACAGTTGGCATTAAGAAGAACAAATAAACGTTATCTGACTAACATCTAGCAGCTAAACTCGTCTGGGAAAATATTCAAAGGCTTTTATTCTTATAAACCGAGCGGACGTGAATGCGTCTGACTGTTCTGATTGGCTAAAGCAGACGACTTATGTCAGCACGTTCTAGACGTGCACGCGCTCTTTCCGGTAATCTTCCTTCTGCGTTTACACAGCGCAGCATTCCGGCAAATTACCGGTAATGTTACAACTTCTCTTTCCGGAAAATAGCCAGAACGAATTTACCGGTATTTTCAAAAAGGACCTGTTCACACATATACACCTTTCCGGAAAATTGCCAGTAATTTTCCGAAAAGGTCTGTATGTGTGAAAGGGGCTATAGACATTCTGGTCTAAAAAAGGAGGCGTGTTGAGGCACATTGCTGGCGCGTTTCTATTTTGAGGAATTTAAATAGACGGTTTAATAGATCAGATCAAAGCAGGTCTATTGTCCCGCGCAGAGCGCTATAGTTGTGCGCCTCGCTGACACATAGCTTAATAAACACAGGATGTGCAGCAATACGCAAATATCTTTACAAATGAAAAAGAATTAAAGGATTAAAATATTACAAAAATTATTATTTTCTAGCCTACATAAATATAAAAATCATGCGTTCTATATCTCGGGAGGCTTTTTCAGTTTATTCATGACAATTTGCTTTTGTATAATGTTATTATTATTAGCAGTGGTATTATTTATTATACGCATATTTATATTTGCTTTTTTAAAAACAAGCTTAGATTTGTCCACCTGTCAGGTTTTAGACTATATGGATGTGTACATGTGTACTTCATTATTACTGTTCATTTATTCGTTGGCTGGAAATTAGAACTGAATTTAGAAATAGTTTTGAAACAAATCATTGCGATTAACAAACTAAATTATGTAGGCTATAGGCTAATGGATATATCTGTGTGTACAGCACGTATCTCTATCCACGAGAGTGAAAGTGAAAGTAAACAATGAGGAGGCCCATCTCTCTTTCTCGCGCTGCAGATGCTCTGTTTAACCGTTTTCTCTCCAGTTTTTCCACTTACAAAGTCCACCATGTAAACAGCAAATGTGCTATGGCACGGCGCAACTGACTCTTAAAGGGAATGGTAGGTGAGACTCTGATTGGTTTATTCTCAAAACACACCAATAACTCATTAAGAGAATAAGCTTAACCCTGTTAGACCATGCACCACGGCGCAAAGCTGATTTTTCCATCCTTAAATTAGCAAAAGATTCTGACACGCACTTAATGCGTTTGCGCCCTGTGTTTAGGATTTTGCGCAAGGATCGTCAAAATAGAGCCCTTAAAGTTTACTTACAGCTGATCACAATCTGCTGACAAGTTTGTTTTTTTATAGATAACAATTTTTGAGTGGGAAATGGCATACGCACATTTATTTAGTGTTGTGAAAGGGAATGGTAACAATACAACATGGTAAATGCTTTACTGTTCCAACTTGTTTTGAAATGCGTTGCAAGAACCACAATTAAATACGTGATTATTTTGAACAAAAACAATAAAAATCATGAGGAAGACATTAAATAATGTTTGTTGTATTGTCTGCATTGAAATACAAGTCAAAATTAAATTTAGAAATCACTACTTTCTTTTTGTATTTGCGTTTTTCATACTATCTTTGTCTGATTTGGGGTTGTATATATACAGCTGGCCCAGCGGGGACTTGAACCAGCGACCTTCTTGCTGGGAGGCAACAGTGCTAACCACTAGGCCACCGTGCCATTCATTCACATAGCACTAAATAATTTAACATATGCAGTTGTGTATTACTGTAATGTAAGAACAGAAAGTCACCAGTTTGAATCTCTGTAAGGGAATGCCGCTGAGATCCACTGGTGATCGTTCAGTGATGTTCACGAAGCGAGCCTCCTGTACTGCCACTGCACACAGCACATGAACCCATCTGCACACAGAGACTGCATTTATTGATCTTGAAGAAAACAGCTGGAAAAAACGTCATTTTACTGTAAAAGCATGCATGTAAATTCATGATTTCAAACTATAAATTCAAATGTTCAAGCAGAGTTCGTAAAGACACAGTATAAAATGGAATAATCTAAATCAGTGGTTCTTAAATATATTTCAACAAGTACCACCTCAGAAAAAAAACAGTCTCTCCAAGTACCACCAAAATGAGCAGTATTGAAATACAGTAGAGTAGTAGGCCTAGTAAAGCAGCTACAACTCTGCACAGTTAAAAAATGTGGCAGATGACCTTAGAAATATAGGTTATATGTCATATATGGCATATTATATACATCATTTTTGATAAATTTTGAAATATATAGCATGTACATGACATATTTGATTCCTCCGTGTACCACTAGAAGGAAGTCCGCGTACCCCTAGTGGTACACGTACCACAGTTTGAGAACCACTGATCTAAATCGTAGTTAAATTAAATGTAGTGCAAGAAACACCTGTATAAATTGATGTATAAATATTCCACTTTTTTGCATTAGCATTGCTATTGAGATTCTTATAAAACGTGTGAAAAAATAATAAAACAGAAAACATAACAACACTAAGAATAGCTTCAGGAATCAAATTAAACCAGGCATTCTTTGTGGGTACTGTGAAAATCATCTGGCACAACACAAGTAGTCTCAGAATTGTGTAATAAGTGAGACAGCATGGAAACAAAAGATTCTTTGTCGAATATCTGAGGTGATAGCTAGGCTAGAGTTCACTGCTGTGTTTTATGACACATTTAGTCATGCCTTCCTGCAGACTTTTATTTGCCTTTACTTACTTGCCATTATTGGCTCTGTGCAACGCTCCACCTCTCAACGAACATAAACAGCAACTCTGTCGAGAAACAGACTGAAACATCATTGACTTTCAAAACATCCAACTGTGTCAGAGACAGAAGGGATTAAAGATCATTATGTGCTTTATGCAAGTTTAAAGAAGCCCAAAAACTTCTTGGACACTTAAAAATAATACAGTTAAAATCAGCATCATTAGCCTCAATGTATATTTGTTTTCAATTTCTGTTTGACATTAAGATTTTTTAAACACATTTCTAGACATAATAGTTTTAGTAACTAATTTGCTTAGTTCATTTTTTATCTTTGCCATGATGACAGTACATAATATTTGACTAGATATTCTTCAAGACACTAGTATTCAGCTTAAAGTGACATTTAAAGGCTTAACTAGGTTAATTAGCCAAGTCATTGTATATTGATGGTTTGTTCTGTAGTCCCGGCCCACAAGGGGGCCTCAGCGAGCATTTTGGGAGTCACTTCAAATTTTACTTTTTTTTTTTTTAGCAGTGGACGATTAGAAGAACAATCATGTTTATTTCATCCCCTGGATGACCAAAAATCTGACAAATTTGAAATTCGTCCTCCAGAAAAAGACTGATTCACCTTTAGCAGCTAATAATAAGCATGCTGGACCCAAGTGAGGAAGCTCCAAACATTTCTAGTCGCAGCGCTAGCAATACTTAAAACACGAAATGCAGGAAATACCAAGATAGTTACCTGAACTATAGTTAGTTTACAAAATGGTTTAGTCCATTTTCTAAAAGCAAAGAGTCCTTGACCCAGCCACAGTGCATTATCTGCAGCAAAGTTCTTGCTAACGAATGTATGAGACCGTCCAAATTAATAAGACATTTGCAGACGACACATCTCCAATACCGCGACAAGCCCAGAGCATTTTTTGACCGCAAGGAGAAAAGACTTATGATTTTTCATAGATTTTACATTAGGCTATTATTTGTGCATAAACGTATCTAGATATAGTAATAAACTTACCGTTCTTTAAAAACAACATTTTTTGTCATCCTTACCGCAAACCTATGATAGCGATAATATTATTAAATGTGGAGGGGGGCCTTAAAATAGTTTCCGGGGGAAAAGAGGGGTCTCAAAGGGGGAACCACTGCTGTAAACAATTGTAAAACAATATTGCTTTAAGGGGCTAACAATATTGACCTTAAAACGGTTTTAAATAATTTAAAACTGCTTTTATTCTAGCCTAAATAAAACAAATAAGACTTTCTCCAGAAGAAAAAAAAAGTATAGGAAATACTGTCAATCATTTGGGAAATATAAAAAAAAAAAGAAATGAAAAATTTAAGTAGTACAATTTGATGTCACATACATTTTTGTCAATTTTCTCACCCATCATAGTTACACAGCCTTTAATTGATAACAAAGACAGCATTTTGGAGTGACCTAATTTTAATGTGTCCAAATTTTCTTTGGTTTCCTATATAGGAAGAGGTTTGTGTGTACCTCAGCAAAGGCGTTGGCTTTACAGCGGGCACACTTCCAGTCTTTAGAGACTCTTCCTGAGGCAACACCGTAACAACCTAAAACAAACAGAGCAGGTTAAACACACGGTTCCCTGATGAGGGCACTGAATTCAGGATGTCGCTTTCTTCACTGAGTACTCAAAGATATTAAGTTAAAGCTTTCATTTAAAAAAACTAAACTACAAGGGGTGAACGACACTAATAATAACAACCCAGGCTCATTCTGAAAACATAGTCCCATGGACGAATCTGGAGACTGCGAAATACGTCCTGGGAGGTACGTATTTTTGCAGTTTTTGTTTTCGCGAACCCACAAGAGGCCGCTGTGTGCGCTTTTTCGTATCTCAAATGTTTCTTGTGAGTGCCGTTCGCACTCGTGCTGTTCACCCACGAGTGGCCGCAGTCTGACTGACTGAATGATTGACTGACCCACCCTTCTCCTCCTTCCCTAAACCCAACCAATTTTACCGATTGACCCGCCTGCCCACTTACTTCCCTAAACCCAACCAACAATTTACAAAAGCTGTCCAGAAAAAGAAAAGCCGTCGTCTGATTTTTTACGAGTTATGAACTCGTTCACTTTATTTTTTGGATTCTGTTTTTGTCTCACACGATTTCTGGAACCGCTCTTCCCTGGACTCGAACACGGTCGTTGTGATCAACTCCTCTCTGCATCTCAGGTCTGCCGACGTACACGATGAGCTAACTGGACAAACTGGTTGCAGTGGAAAAGCCCTCCACATGGAGGTAAGCGGTCACCGGGTAAGAGTGAAAGGGAACAGCATCATACCGCCCCGTAGCGTTCGCTTTAAAAAATGAAATGCAGCCATATGTACCTCCTAGGACATATTTCGCAGTCTCTAGAAATGTACACGGAACTACGTTTTCAGAATGAGCCTGGGTTGGATAATAACACTGATGATGAAATTTAAACCTCAATATTTTAGCGGAATCTTTTCCGATAACATTCAGTGAATATAGTTGAATATTTGTCAAATAATTTTGTGGCTAAAAATGATTGGTTCAGGCACTGTTTTGGCACCGGTACCGTTTTAAAAGTATCGATTTTAGCAACGGTATCGAAAAAAAAACAAACGTGACCCAACCCTAGTCGAATCTAGGAATGCCGATTCTATAATATACTAATAATATTGAACCGTGGAGTTTGTACTGAATTTCAATATTACATTGAGTATTCTGCATCTCTAGTATAGTTTTTTTCATTCACATGTAAAAATTGTATTTTGCATTTCCCCCATTCCTTTAATTGCTCTCTGAACTGTCTCTGTGCATGTTAGAATGCACTGAAACACAGCTTCCTCCCTAATTAAATGGCCCATCAGTGAAATTAGTGATGCTTTCCACGTGAAAAATAAAAGTGACATGTGCCGCATGTCACCGTGACCCTTAAACCGAACCATGAGAATCTGTAATGTTGCACCCCTAGTGGATACTCACTAGTGTGCACTCGGACACTGCAAAGGGAGCAGCTGATGAGCAGACTAGTGCCGTCCTCCTCCAGGTGAGCTGTGGATGGCTGGACGTCTGCGCTCTCCTCAGTGGTGATGGTAAAGCATCTCTCAGGAATCAGAGGTTTGGTTCTCATCTGACCTCCGCGCAGCACTACAGCCGGCTCGCTCTCTGCTCCTTCAGACTGAACACAAACACAGGAAATTACACAGGAAAGCACAGAAATAAAACACAAATCAGTGTTTCCCACAGACGCAGGCTGGTGTCCCATGGTACGTGTGAGTGGCAGCGGGTGTTTTTTCTGTGTGCATAATAATTACTCAGAGCATTCATACCGAGAGCAAGCGTGGGCAACGCTGAGGCGATGGTTTTGGCTCTGATTTTTGTTGCACTGCTGACTCAATTAAAGTGACAGCACACTTTTGATGGCCAAAATAAATATGACATATAAGCATGCCTACTGTGTTTAATACATATGTAGGCTACAGAAGGTATAAACGTGTTTGTTATTATTCAGTTTGAGTGCAAGGGGGCAGAGCAGTGGTTAGCACTGCTGCCTCATAGCAAGAAGGTTGCTGATTCAAGTCCCGGCTGGGTCAGCATGTTCTAGCTGTGTTGTGCTCTGGTTTCCCCCACAGTCTAAACCAGCGGTGTATAAAAACTCGGTCCTGGAGGGCCGGTGTCCTGCAAAGTTTAGCTCCAACTTGCTTCAACACACCTGCCTGGAAGTTTCTAGTATATCAAGTAAGAGCTTTATTAGCTGCTTCAAATGTGTTTGATTAGGGTTGGAGCTAAACTCTCCAGGACACCGGCTCTCCAGGAACGAGTCTGGACACCCCTGGTCTAAACACATGCGCTATGGTTGAATTGGGTAAGCTAAATTGTCTGTAGTGTATGTGTGTGAATGAGGGTGTATTGATGTTTCCCAGAGATGGGCTGCGGCTGGAAGGTCATCCGCTGCGTGAAGCACATGCTGGAGAAGTTGGCAATTCATTCCTCTGTGTTGACCGCTGATTAATAAATGGACTAAGCCAAAATGAAAAAGGGCCTGAGCAGATTTCTTGCGGCACGGGAATAAATTTCTAAATAAAGTGCAAAAGCGGTCAGTAACTGGTGTAATTTGAACAGGAGCAGGCAGTCTAACAATATCGCTCCCGACTCCCGAGCGAGCGAGCACACATATGTATGTGTGAATGAAAGAGTGTGATGCTGTGTTTAGCTTGTTTGCTGCTGTCTATGTGTGTGAATGAGAGAGAGAGAGAGCTTGGTGCTGTCTATGTGTGTGTGTGAATGAGAGAGTGTGATGCAGTCTGTGTGTCACTTGCTTGGTGCTATGTGTCTATGTGTGTGTGTTATACTGCAAGCTTGTTATAGGCTGTATGGATTCTGTATAGCTGGGTGGTTTTTGGTTTTGTGTGGGGGAAAAGGGGGCGGGGCGGGCAGCGGGACAACAAATGCTGAATATCCGCTTGTTAAGTGGTGACGTGTTTGTGACGTATGTAATACTGTTTCCGGGTCCAAGCCGCCATTCAGCTAAGTGGAGAAATCATTCGTTTATGATCGCGTTTTATTCCTGTCACACATTAAAGTTAATTTTATATAAAATCATAGTGTACACAACAATCTCTGGGCTTGCTGCATAACAAATACCAAAAATGTAACAATTTATAAAAATATTAATCACTTTCTGGCCATCGGATATTAGGCATGGACATGTATACTGCCATCGTGATTTTCGAAAGCCTTAAATCGCTTTGTAAACGTTTATTATTACCATTTCATGAGTCTCCCCATTCAGTTGAATAGAGCGCTTGGACCCGGAAGCCGCTTCACGTGACGTCACATTTAACAAGCGGATAAGCGGGAGCGGTCGGGTTCAGACTAAAACCTGGCGGGAGCGGGATTTAAAATTTACTCCAGCGCAGATCTCTAGCAGAAGGTGTGACTGAGTGATTGACAGCTGATATTAACCAATCCATTCGCGTTCAGTTCTAGAGCTGTGGGCCAATAAGAAGAGCTTGTAAGCGGGGAAAGCGTTGCAGGCTTTGTTTACTGCAGCATGTTGACATGACAACTGTTTTAAACTATTCCCAAGAGCTGTGTTTGGCGTTTCAGATGCAAAGATGCAATCTGTGGGAATGTCTCCTAAAACATTTTGCGTTAAAAACTGGTCAACAATATTATTCACTCTCACAAATGCTCACAAATATATTTTGAGGTCGCATAGATACAATTTTGGGTGCATTTTTGAGCCCTCACATAGTAAGCTTTCAAGTTGACGTCAACAGAAGGACCACCCCTCCAAACGCGGAAGCAGATGGACAGATTTTGACAGAAGATTAACAAAACACAATCACAATTAGTGGACTAACTTGCCCTGATTAACTGTTCACCTTAAAGGGCCATGAAACCCCCTCGTTTCAGCAGGGTGTTTTCACACCTCTACTTTGGAAAAAGTCTGAAAAGTGGGCGTGTCCAGTTCTGTTTAGGGGGGAGTGTCGGAGGAACTAAAGTGAGATGGTGTGGGAGTGTCTATTTGTGCGCGCTGAGTTTCAGAGTCAAAACAAACACACACACACAAACACAGGGGAGAAAGTGACTGTGTTTACATGGACATCTGTAGTCGAATTATTTGCCAAATTACTAAATGTTGGACTTTAACTGCAGTTTGGCTCTTTCATTCAGGGAATTCATTCATGTCCCTCGCGACAAACAAGATATTTGATTCGAGGAACTGCTCTAAGCGTGTATTTTTCATGCAATGTTTAATACCGCACGGCGAATGAGAGAAAAAAACCCTCCGCATTTCCCGGAAACTTAGATGCACACAGCAGGTAGCGTCAGAAAGCCGCGTGTGTTATTCCTGTCACAAAATGCGGTGAAAATCATACACGAGGTTAAAGTTTGGTTGTGGTGCTAACATGTTTACACGGTGTAATAGTTAGTTCGATACGAACAAACTGAATAAACACAGAGCACTGGTCGCTCACTTACCAAATCTGTAGAGACAGGACAATCACCAGCAACTAGAGCCGCGTCTTTATTAACAGGAGACTATAAGCGAATCTGGATCTCGGCGTTTGCAGATGAGAACAGCTCTCAGGTAAACAATAATCCTCCTTAGACACGTAAGTTATTGTTGTCGAGCGTCGCGTACACTGTTAATCCACACGTGAGTCTGAGCTTTCACTGAGAGAAAATAAAAACGAAACTTCACTGCAGCAAACTATAAAAGCAACACTTCACGCTTGTTTTGGCAATACAATGGGGCGTCTCTGTCATCTAAACACTGTGACAGTAATGAATATTAATGAAGTTGCACAATAGAGCGCACTGATTGGTTTGAACCAAGCCTTACTCATGCATTAATGCATCACACTGTAAGACGTAATAAGACACACTCTAGCACAGGCGTCCAGTCTGCACGCTGGAATACACGCTATTATGTCATGCCCGTGACGCAGCTTCAAAAATTAGTTTCAAACCGGAAGTGCGAATTTGCTTGAAATAACGCAAAAACAACCAATTTACACTTTTTACTGAAATATAGGTGTCCTAATAGTGTTTTTAGCAGTGTGGGACACATATACGACTGTCAACAGCTCAAAAAATGTGTTTTGGTGTTTCGTGACCCTTTAAGAATATCAATGTGCGCTAGCAAAATAAACATTGTACGTTTTTATTACACACAAACTTAAAAAATACATAAATAAATCTAACACATCCTAAACTCTTGACCAGTGGTTTAAATGTAGTGTATGATCTGTGTAAGCGTCTGTACCCTGTGATGTGCCTGGAAGAGCATGCAGATGGAGCAGTATGGAGGCCGCAGACCCATCTCTCTGTTGTACTCTCTCTCTCGATCTGGATTGTACGGTCTGTTCTGCCACAGCTGGGTCAGAGGTCGAGCCCAGGCCTCTCCGTCCAGCCCGTCCTCCTCTGATGCCGCCTGATCCTGCAGCTCTGCACATATACAGAACATCATTTAATGATACAAGACTTAATGTACATTAGTTACTTTATCCCTTGTTAAACACTTACATGGTGACTATTTGAAAAGCCCACAGTGACTTTAATGGGACACTTTTAGGTGACACTTATAGCGAAATTTTCAATTTTGCTGTTGCGGCACAAGTATGACTCAACCAGGGGCCCGAATTTAGAGAAGAGGGATTTTGTTCTTGAATTTAGTGGTGCTTGTGCACAGAAATGACACCATTCTGATGTAGTTCTGATCAAAAGGATGTTCAGTGGAAAATGGTGTGCATCTGAATGTCACAGCAGAAATCAAGGCTCGTCAGACCAGGAAATGTTTTTCCAATCTTCTATTGTCCAATTGTGGTGAGCCTGTGTGAATTTTAGCCTCAGTTTCCTGTTCTTAGCTGACAGAAGTGGCACCCGGTGTGGTCTTCTGCTGCTGTAGCCTATCTGCTTCAAGGATGGACATGCTGTGCATTCAGAGATGCCTTTCTGCAGACCTTGGTTTTAATGAGTGGTTATGAGTTACTGTTGCTGGAACCAGTCAGGCCATTTTCCTCTGACACCAACAAGGCTAATAATTTTGTCACTAAAATGTTTTTTAAAAAATTTAAAACTGCTTTTATTCTTTTATTCTAATTTCCTTGTTCTTCTGTTAAACATCATTTGGGAAATATTGAAAAAACTAAATAAAATTTAAAGGGGGGCTAATAATTTTGACTTCAACTGTATATATATATATATATATATATACTGTTACAATTAGTTGTAGTGTAATATAGTGTAGGCTTGTGTGCGGTGTTTCTGTCCCTCTCTCTCTCACTCTCACTTTCATTTCTAAGTATTCGCAGGTGCAGAGGATTGAGTTGGGTCGGATCATGATTGGCGCTTGGATTGGGGTCGGCTGTATTTAAACCTGCAGAGAGCATGGATTTGATGGTTCCACAGACTCTCCTGATTCCCCGCGTATGCTCAGTGGAGATGAGTGCTTAAGTGATCAAATTAGTGTTTGTTGCTTATTTCTCTTTTGTGGTGTTTTGTGAGATGCCGATGTGAAGTTGCTAATTCTAACCGAAGAAACCCGGTTTTCTGTCTCCCTGTCTGGCTTGGAGCATGGTAGGGATGTATGGTGCCTTCTATTTTTTATTTTCGTTTTCTCCTGTGTTTGTTAGTAGGGAGGTAAGTGTTCTGTATTTTATTTTATTATCTGTTTTCTAGGGAGGTTTGATCTAATTTAGTTAGCTTGGTTTATTGTAATTTATTTTGGTTGAACCCCTTCCAATGTTATTTTTTGCTCCTTATTTCTGTAAATAAATCCTACTTGTATTATAATTTTAATCTCCGTTATTTTGTTTTTGGGTAAACCTCTTTTTGATTATAGATTTTTAATTAAATTCATAACTATATATATATATATCTATCTATCTATCTATCTATCTATATATATATATATATATATATATATATATATATATATATATATATATATATATATATATATATATTGCAGAAAAACTAAATATCAGAAAATATTAGATTTTTCTATATATCATTAATATACTATATCATTTTTATACTATATCATTAAGTGTATTAGTGTGTAAGAGTTAAGTGTAAACATTAGTTCAATAGGCCAAAAAGAGTCACTTCGGTATGGCAAAAGGCTCACAAAGCACTATGATTTTAGTTGTACTATAATTTCATTTAATTATGAATTTTACATTAATTTAAATATTTTTACTATTAGTATTTTTTTTTAGATGTTGTTTGTAGTTTTAATTTTACTTTCAGCTTTCAACATGTTTAAGATTCAGAATTTTTTTAAATCTACATTTATTTCAGGTATACACTTCTAATGTTTCAAGTTTTCTGACTATATTCTAGGTTGTACTGAATTTTTGTTTTCAAATTTAATTTTTTTTATTTTATTCTTAATCAGACACACACACCCTGACCTTCATCACTGATGCTGTCCTTTATCAGAGGGTGGTGTCTGGGCAGTCTGGGTAGTCTGTACTGAGCTTCAGCTGGACGCTCGGCTTCTTTCTGTAGGAATACACAAAGCCACAAACTCATTATTCACAGCAGAGCACCAAACCCTCTAGTGGTTCATGATGGAAGTGCAGGAGTTGTGACATGACATAAAACTATCTTATCTGTCTCTAAATGTTAAAAATAATACTGTAAAACAAATAACACAGTGAATTCAGAACAGCACATAAATCTACATCATCATCAGAACTAAATGCACATACACAATTTGCAAACTATAGTAGCCCTGACCTAGGATATTCCTATGGTGTCTTGAGGGTGAGGTTAATTTTATTCTTTTTTTTTTTTTTTTGGGGTGAACTTACCCTTTAATCTCTAGGCTGTCATAAAAAAAATGAATCTCTGCAGCGCTCTAATACTTCAGCGCATAAACATTGAGAAAGCAGGCCTTGTACGCACCTTGTTGTCATCCTGAGACTCGCTATCAGAATCACTGTCTCTCTCATGCTGAATGCGCGGCTCAATGTCGCTGTAATCTCCTTTAGCGTAGCTGTGGACGTGCAGCACCTCTGCAGGGCTCAGTGTCCTCTGGAAGATGTGTTGAACTGAGCCCTGACTGACACTCGCTAACACAGAGCTCAAGCCTGACACATTTACACTCACACTGCTGCTGGGCTCTGGGATGATCTTATAGGTGGGTTCGGGTGTTCGGCTGACCATGAAGTTACTGGACTTCAACTGGACATCATCATACATGTGAATGGAGTCAATGCTGGGCTTGCGTTTAGAGCTGACAGAGAAGTCGCTGGGTTCTGATTGGACCTCATACATTTGGGCGGAGTTAATGCTGGTCTTCTGTTTGTAGCTGATGGTGAGGCCACTGGGCGCTGATTGGACATCATATATTTGGGTGGAGTCAATGCTGGGCTTGTGTTTGGAGCTGATGGAGAAATCGCTGGGTTCTGATTGGACATCAAACATTTGGGTGGAGTCAATGCTGGGGTTGTGTTTAGAGCTGATGGAGATGTCGCTTGGTTCTGATTGGACGTCATACATTCGGGCGGAGTTAATGCTGGGCTTGTGTTTAGAGCTGATGGAGATGTCGCTGGGATCTGATTGGACATCATACATTTGGGTGGAGTTAATGGTGGTCTCCTGATTAGAGCTGATGGAGATGTCGCTGGGTTCTGATTGGACATCATGCATTTGGGTGGAGTTAATGCTGGTCTCCTGATTAGAGCTGATGGAGATGTCGCTGGGTTCTGATTGGACATCATACATTTGGGTGGAGTTAATGCTGGTTTCCTGATTAGAGCTGATGGAGATGTCGCTGGGTTCTGATTGGACATCATACATTTGGGTGGAGTTAATGCTGGTTTCCTGATTAGAGCTGATGGAGATGTCGCTGGGTTCTGATTGGACATCATACATTTGGGTGGAGTTGATGCTGGTTTCCTGTTTAGAGCTGAAGGAGATGTTGCTGGGTTCTGATTGGACATCATAAATTTGGGCGGAGTTTATGCAGGTCTCCTGTTCAGAGCCAAAACATATGTCGCTTGGTTCTGATTGGACATCATCAACTTGGGAGGAGTTAATGCTGGGCTTGTCTTTAAAGCTAATAGAGATGTCACTGGGTTCTAATTGGACATCATACATTTGGGCGGAGTTGATGCTGGTCTCCTGTGTAGAGCTGATGGAGATGTCACTGGGTTCTGATTGGACATCATACATTTGGGCGGAGTTAATGCAGGACTCCTGTTTAGAGCCAAAAGATATGTCGATGGGTTCTGATTGTATATCATCAGTTTGGGTGGAGTTAATGCTGGGCTCATGTTTAGAGCTGATGGAGATGTCACTGTATTCTGATTGGACATCATCGACTTGGGCCGAGATGATGCTTGTCTCCTGTTCAGAGCTGACAGATATGCCGCTGGGCGCTGATTGGACATCATCAATTTGGGCGGAGTTAATGCGGAGCTTGTTTTTAGAGCTGATGGAGATGTCGCTGGGTTCTGATTGGACATCATCAATTTGGGTGGAGTTAATGCTGGTCTCCTGTTTAGAGCTGATGGAGATGTTGCTGGGTTCTGATTGGACATTATCAATTTGGGCGGAGTTAATGCTGGACTCCTGTTTAGAGCCGATGGAGATGTCGCTGGGTTCTGATTGGACATTATCAATTTGGGCGGAGTTAATGCTGTACTCCTGTTTAGAGCCGATGGAGATGTCGCTGGGATCTGATTGGGCATCATCAATTTGGGCGGAGTCAATGCTAGACTTACGTTTAGAGTTGACAGACATGTCGCTGGGTCCTGATTGGACATCACAGATGTGGGTGGAGTTAAATTCAGACTCAAACCTATGGCCGTCGGTGATGTCGCTGGGTCCTGATTGGACATCATAGGTATGGGCGGAGTTAATGGGAAGCTTGTGTTTAGGGCTGTTGTTGGATTCTGATTGGACATGACCGGTGTGGGTGGAGTTAAAATCAGGGTCATATCCAAGGCTGTCGGTGATGTCACCAGGTCCTGATGGGACATCAGAACCACTGGTGGAGCTGATATCAGGTTTATGTGTAAGGCTGACGGTGTTGTCACTGGGCTCTGGTTGGACATCAAAGGTGTGTGCCGAGTTAATGCTCATCTCATCTTTAGAGTTGATGATGATGTCATTGGCTTCTGATTGGACATCACAGATGTGGTCTGAGTTTGTGCAGGACTCACATTCGCTGGGTTCTGGTTGGACATCAGATGTGTGAGCGAAGTTAACGCCAGGCTTATATATCGGGCTCATACTGATGTCACTGTGTTCAGGTTTGACGTCACAAACATAGGCAGAGTTATTGCCAGGCTCATATTTAAAGCTAGTTTCTGATTGGACATCACTCATAGGGGTGGAACTAATGCTTGGCTCGTGTTCCGAGCTGATGGTGATGTTGCTGGTTTCTGATTGGACATTGATGATGTGGGTGGAGTTAATGCTGGGCTTGTGTTCAGGGTCGACGGTGACGTTGCTTAGATCTGACTGAACGTCAGAGGTATAGGTGGAGTTAGCACTGGAATTCTGTTTAAGGCTAACGATGATGTCACTGGGTTCTGGCTGGACATCAGAAATATGGGCAACATTAATGCTAGGCACACGTGGAGTAAGGTTGATGCTGTCGCTGGGTTCTGTGGTGCCATCACAAGTGTAGGCGAAGCTAATGCTGTGTTTGGAGAAGTTACTGCTGCTTACAGACATAAAGGAAGTCGCAGGGATGTCACTGGAACATGGATGGGACGTGATGTTACTTGGTTGAGCATCAGTGAGATCAGTTGGAGTGATATCCTCAGGGTTGATTTGGACAACAAAGCTTTGAGTGACGTCTTCAGACTGAGAGGCAACATCACCGCCCAGAGCCACATCTTCATCAACGCTGTTTATGGACTGTGTGGATGAGGTGACGTCGCTGGATTCTTCTTCTCTTTGCTGTGTCGTGATGTCACTGCTGGAGGTGGGGTCTGACGTGGAGAGCTCCGCCTCCATGCACTCTTGCTGTTGTGGAGGAGGCGTGTCTGTCTCCATGGTCTCCTCAGCTTTCTCGTCATCTGTAGAAATACAAACATTGTCTGTTTTAATATTTTAATTACAAGCATTACACAAGCATTACACGTTGTGCAAGAAGCTCTACCTGGCTCAGCAGAGACAGACTGTTCCTCGTTGTTGTCTGTTTCATTCTGGCCGAGTTTGGCTTTCTTCTTCTCAACCTCCTCCACTTCTATCTTTACTTGATTGTCGTCTTTTGCTTCATTGTCAGTGCTGGATCTGAGCCTCTTCTGCCCCGTGTTCTGCTTTGGACTACTGCTGTATGAAGAGAAGGAACATCACAAAAAGTTGTTAAAGGTGCAGTATGTAGAATCGACACTAGTGGTTGAACAAGGTATTGCAGGGGAAATTCAAAACATTGGAGAGGGATTTCTTTTTAACCGGCCGCTCCTCTACGAATCTGTGCAAATGCAGGTAGCCAGATTGATGACCCCAACAGAAATGAGTCTTAGGGGCGGTTCATACAGAACTTGTTTTTCCTTCCCAATGTGCTACTTTTCTATTGTTTGTTAAGGTTTGACAGATGTCTGTGACCATTACGATTGCATCTTTTGAAGCAACACAAACATGAACGCTGCGTTTTTAGATGCTGTGTGAAGTAAAAAGATCTTCAAATTTCACCACAGTGCATCTCATTAGTAGTGGACCAATTAGGAGAACTCAGAGGTGGGACAACCGTTGCAAGTTTCTGTTTAAGGGCACTCAGTTGCCGTGTCCAAATACCCTCCTTCCTTGTGCTGTGGTTTTTTAGAAACTAAGACATGTTCGGTGTGAATGAGCCCTTACACTTTAAGCTTCACAGCTAATGTTTACAATTGTGATGTTTTTATTATTTGCTAGTGGTGTAACGAATCACAAACTTCACCGTTCAGATCACATTATGTTTTTAAATCAAGGATTGAACCATTTTTCGGATCAGTTAAAAGGGGAGGGGACAAATGTAATTTGCTTTCCATTTATTACAAAAACAGCACCTCTGGTTTTAACAAACAGAACTTAGAAGCTGTAATTTTATTAGAAATAAAATTAAGAAATAATCAGCTGAATAAAAATAAATTGTGAAATATTGTAAAAATTCACTGTTACTACTACTATTGCTGATGACGCTAAATGTATAAATATAACGCTATAATGTTCATTCATTCATTTTCTTGTCGGCTTAGTCCCTTTATTAATCCGTGGTCGCCACAGCGGAATGAACCGCCAACTTATCCAGCAAGTTTTTACACAGCGGATGCCCTTCCAGCCGCAACCCATCTCTGGGAAACATTCACACACACACACACATTCACACACACTACAGATAATTTAGCCTACCCAATTCACCTGTACCGCATGTCTTTGGACTGTGGGGGAAACTGGAGCACCCGGAGGAAACCCACACGAATGCAGGGAGAACATGCAAACTCCACACAGAAACAGCAACTGAGCCGAGGATTGAACCATGACCCAGCGACCTTTTTGCTGTGAGGCAACAGCACTACCTACTGCGTCGCCCCGCTATGATGTTTACAACCCATATTTATTTTCAGTCTCATTTTAAATAAATGATTCAGTGATTCACTCATAAAACTCATGTTTCATTGCTAGATGATCATTTCTGAAGAATTATTCAGTGGCGTATTTTTAATGGCGGGTTGTCGCCATGTAATGGCTGCCTACAACTTTCATTGTTGAGCATCGTTAAATGCATATGATGGTGATTTTAATCTTTACCATAAACATCAGTGGTTTTGTCTAAACTATAAACTGTTCTCCCAGTACTTCTGTGTTATTTGACTGTTTGTAACTTCAAAACTAACTCAAAAGACTAAAGACTGAATCTCTTTCTTGATTTTTGAATTGTTCAAACACAGATTTGAATGCAGCGATTCGAAGGATTAATAAACATGCAAATCAGCATCATTTATAATTGATGTTGCGTGGGTGTTGAGATCCCGACCTTTTAATGATTAATCGTGCAGCTTACACTGAATGTATTAATGCAGGCGAAACAAGTAGTGACAGAAAACACCTTTAATAACCTAAGAAACCCACCACATACTGAATAACCCACCACAACTTCTTCCGTCATCATTATATTTCTGATGCAAGAGGTGATCTCTCTGTGATCGTTACAAATGATGGATTAATAAAAAATTTACATTTTATTAATCCGCAGGTCACGTGTGTTTCAAACCGTGGGTTGTGATCTGGTACACCCCTATTATTGCTAATTAAAAACCACCTCATGTAACTCTAAATGAGCATTTCATTTCAGAGGTTGCTACTGTCCCCTGAGCTCACATGCGTACATTAACACAGCCTTCATGACTGAAATGAAATACATTTTTTCACCGCCACAAGGCTAACTGTGGGAGCTAATATACAGTTTACAGACATCCCAACACAGAACGCACATTTTCAAAGGAGAATGACTGGCTTTAACATTGTTTTTCAAATAAACAATATGTTCTCTTAGCATGCTTCTTTAAATATCTGCAAACAAATTATTGATACGCTTTAGCGGAGTTAAAAAGCTAAAACATAATACACCTTTCAAACAAAAAACGTGCAATTACATCGCAGAAACAATTGTGAAAACATCAGATCAAATGTTGTTCTACAAACCTGCTGATCTGTTCTGAAGTGCTGCTGGGCTCTTCATCCCTCACACTCTTCTCTACCTCTGCTTCTGCTTTCTCCTTTCCAGCATCGCTTTCTCTCTTCACCACCTTCTCAGAGAAGGCTTCAGCTTTGTCCTCCTCTCCATCATCTGTGTTTGCCTTCTGCTGGTCTCCTGCCTCTGCTTCTCCTCTCTCTTCCAGTGTTTCCGCTCTCTCGCTATCGCTGATCTCTCCTTTCTCGTTCTCTTTCTGGATTTCAGCCACTTCTGGAGTGGGCTTCGAGTGGTCAATAGGCACATTATCCTTTCCTGCTTTCCAAAGTTTGTATCGTTCTGGCTGGAACTTGTGCACAAACACGTCCATGGAAATCTTCACCATGTCCTTCCGGCAGGAACACTGAGAATGTGAAGCACATGGTCACACAAAAACACTCCAATAGGCCCGAAAACTACTTTTAAAATGACCTTATGACCTTATGACCAATATTTTTTCACCCTTTACCTGTTTCAAACCTTTATGAGATCCTCTCTTCTGTTAAACACACAAGATATTTTGAAGAAGGCTGAAAACCTGTAACCACTGACCTCCATAGTTATTAATTTTTCCAACAATGGAAGTCAATGGTTACCGGTTTTCAGCATTCTTCAAAATATCTTCCTTTGTGTTCAACAGAATAAAGAAACTCATAAAGGTATTGTAAGAACATGAGGGTGAGTAAAAAGTATAATTTTTGGGTGAACTATCCCTTCAAAGTGTGTACAAAAAAAATAACATACTAATGTTGCCAGCTTTCCATAATCAATCCAGCGCTGAGTGGCGAAGTTGGTGGATTCTGCGCAGTTGAAGCCGTGGTTAAACCCAGCATGATATCCATATGGGAATGTGACAATGAACTGGCCTGCTTCCTGTGTGACCTGATGAATCAAGCAGAAAGAGGTCAAACCAGGAGATGAAAGTAGGTTTGACATTATATGATAAGTATAAAGTAACTAACCTTCTCAAAGGGTATCCCATACTTCCTCAGAATAGACGGTGATATTAAAGTCATTTTGTGTCGCAAGAAGGCTTCGCAACTTTGGGCGCTTCCAGGGAAAAATCCTGCATGGAGGAAAATAAAGTTGATGAGCTGCTGGAGGAACTGGAGGAACTAATAATGTGCTTTCGGAAGATCACTATACCTTTAGCAAGACGCTCCAATCTTTTCCCGTGCTCTGGAGGCACAACATACCTGCAGAAGGACTCATTTTCAATTCAAGACCAAGTAATAATGCTTGTATAAATATATTATTTTTTGTAATTGTATTTAAAGTATGTCTTAATCACCAAGGCTGCATTTATTTGACAAAAGTACAGTTTAATCAAATATTAATTTTAGAGTTTAAGCTAAGATAAAGGAACCCATAGAACACTGCAAGAGAGTGCTAGGGGGTCTGTGAAGATTAAAAAAAAAATTAAAAATCATTAATAAATAATTTCATTAATAACATAAAACATTAAATACAAATAAACAGACAAACTAAAATACATAAAGAAAAGTTAGTATGAAAGAAACAACAAAAATTGGGGATAATGCAATTTAATTCTAAATATAAAACCATGCTAAATTAATAAATAATAATGTATTATATTTATATTTATCAAAGTACCAGTTATCTATTATGTACAAACTAGATTAATAAAAATATTAATACCTTTATTAAAACCAATATCTTTTACATTTTATAGACTTTTATGATATAAATAAATTTCATTCATTAATCAAAAATAAATCCAAATCAACAGACAAACTAAAATAAATAAGGACAAGTTAAACAACAAATAAATCAATAAAAATGGTGATAAAGCTATTTAAGTATTAATACAAAACCATGATAAATTAATGAATTAATTTTAAGTACAAGCTAGATTAATATAAATAATAATACTTTTTATCAACATACGTAACTTTTACATTTTGTAGACTGTTATGAAATGAATAAGTAATTTCATTCAGAAAATCAAAAATCAAATCAAATCAACAAACTAAAATAAATAAAAGACAAGTTAATATAAAAAACAAAAAAATGGGCAAATTTATTAAAAAGCAATATAATTATTAATACAAAACCATGATAAATCAATTACGTCTAAGTACAAACAAGATTAATATAATATAATATATATATATATATATATATATATATATATATATATATATATATATATATATATATATATATATATATTTTAATTAATTAAAATAAATAACATACATTTTATAGACTTAAGAAATTAATAAATAATTTCACTACTAAAATAAACTCAAATAAACAAACCAAAAATAAATAAATAATGAGAAGTTAGTATAAAATCGACAAAACAGTTTAATTATTAATACAAATAAATGTTACATTTTATTAAAGGGAATATCTTTTACATTTTGTAGACTTTGTAAAATTAATAAAAAATAAATAAATTCAAATAAACAGACAAACTTAAATAAATAAAGACAAGCTAGTATAAAAAAACAACAAATTAATTTAAAAAATGGGATAAAGTAAATTAATTATTAATACAAAACCATGCAAAATAAATAAATTAAGTACAAACTAAATTAATATAAATAGTAGCATTTTTATTCAAATAAATATCTTATCAATTTTACAGCCTTTTACATTTTGAAATGGGAATCCCTGATACGATTATGATCAAATTTGAAAAGTAAGTTTCATCCAGATTTTAAAATAAAAGATGTAATGGTTGTCTACCTGAATGTCTAAACGGCTACTAATTCCTGTTATTCAAGTCCTTAGAGTCACATAGTTATACTTGATAATTCTAATATGCAGCTTTTTTGCTAAAGAAACATATCTAAATTTTTTGTTGCTGTTTAATATTGCTTAAAAATAACAAACAAACAAACAAACAAACAAACAAACAAACAAACAAACAAACAAACAAACAAACACTTATTGACCCCAAACTTTGAATGATAGTGTATTTGAACAAATAATTCTTATAGCCTGTTTCTTTTTAAAGAATCTGTCAAAAAGTCTCCTGGTTTAAATAAAACATGTATATAAAAACCTAATTTTTTTTTAATGTTCCTCACTGTTACGCATAAACACACATATTAGACACAAGCAATGACAGTACCAGGACTTGGGTTCTCCAAAGTGCAGGTAGTTGATGCTGTAGAGATCCATGTCCTCCGTGTGCCAGGCGAATGTGCTCTTCCACATCCCGAAATACAGATATGGAGTGTTCACCCCTTTGATTGTGATTCCACTCTCTCTCTCCACCATGTCCAATATAGTGTTCAGGCGGCCAATATTCCACTCCATCACGTCCTGTCACACATATGTTTGTAATCATCATACAGTCCTATCATGACCTTGTGAACTCACTTTCCAACACAAACATATTTCGTTCCCAAAAATGGCAGATCACTCACGGGATCATAGAGGGTTCCACTGACATCTGCCCCATATAATGGTGGATTGAATGTTAAATTCTTCCAAAATTTTCTCTCCAGTTCTTCAAAGTCAGCATATCTGGGATTAGAGAACCTAAAGTTGTGTAAGAAAAATGTTGTATTACACATTGACAAAGTCAACATAATAGCAGTTCATCTCCTTTGCGCTTCATCAAATGCAAAAGTAGGGCTGGATATCGCGAGAATTTCAGGTTTCAGCTCAGCCTAATGATTCCAGATCATTTTATATTGATCAAAGAACCGTGAGTCATTCCTGAAGAAGCATTCTGTTCTCTACAGGCTACCTTTATATGTCATACAGAAACCATTTTTAGACATTAAATTTGGAGAGTATTTGCTTTTATTGCGCATCATAAGTTTTTAAAGTAGCCAGTTGTATTAGTTGCTGATATTATGTTTACTTGTTCATTCGGATTTAGACTGCTGTTTAAGTTTTGGGACATTTAGGCCCACACGGAATCTGCGTGCGCAGAAAAATTTTATTTTCCCTGAGTTACTGTTTGTGGCTGTTTTTGCCCCATTGACTTCCATTATAATGACACCACCAACAATCAAGAACGCGTGATTAAATGGTGTATGGTTTTGCAGTCAAAAAGTGTCATTATAATGGAAGTAAATGGGGAAAAACAGCCAAGAACATAATAAAGTTGCACACAGTGTATTCAGTTTTTGAAACATTTTTTAAAGCATTTTCCAAAATATGTCAAAATATGATTTGTCACCAAAAATCACTCCATATACTGAAACACAGAGAAAGTTGTGGGCAAATTAAGACACAACAGCTCCCCATGGTGGACGAAAACACCCCAAACATAACATAAGGGAACACTACTTGTGGAAATCTGCAGCTTCACCTAAAGCTTCAATGTGAATGTGTGATCTGATTTTATATTTGAAATTAAGAGAAAATTAAATATTTAATGAAGGGATCTGTCCAAAAATTTTATGAGACATGGCAACCTATGATCACATATTTTGAAAAAAGGAAGACTCCTTTATCTGATTTATATAAAGAAATCTGTGCAAACAGATTTAACTGTGATCACCAATAGGGTTTGGTTTTATATTTATGTAAAAGACCACTAAACATGTGTCAGATTATTGATTTGTATTATCATGTACTGTAGGTAATTATTTATTAATTATTGTTATAATTTTATAATTATTATTATTTTTTTTTTATTTTTTTTTTTAATTTATTTATTATTTTTAATTTTTCTATTTTGCTATATATTTGTATCCATACCTGTTGTAATTGTATTTTAATATTATTTGTTTGCTAATTCATTTCGGTGGCAATGTTTAAAAGTGGTGGTAAAAAATTACAACCTTGATTGTTCAAAATTTTTGTTCAAGCTTGAGAAAATAATCACAAATAAATGAAAAAAAAAAAAAAGAAATTAACAGGAAATACGTTTATAATGTCACAAAAAAATTCTGTTCTAAATAAATGCTGTTCTTTAATTGTACCGAAGAATTGTAAAAAATGTATTCATTTCCACAACATTCTTAGCTGATTTGAACTTTGATGATGATAATACTAATAATAATAATAATATGAAATCTTCATCATATATAAAAACTACACCACTTGCAAACATTTAAATTACAGTATAGTTAAATAAGCAAAAGGTCTCTTTAGTGGAGGGTTTCTTTATATTTTGATTGCACTTTTTTATTTAAAATATACAATAATTAACATATAAAATGTACAATAATTAATCCTGCATGATGAATCTAGGTACATTCATTAAAAGGATAGATCACTCGATTTGTTTTCACCATTAACTCACACTTAAGTGTCTCTAAACTTTTATTGAACACAAAAACGAATGCTGGTAAAAAAAGCAGCCATTGACGTCCATAGTATTCAGCACAACAAAAAAACTCATACAGGTTTGGAACAAGTAGAGGATGAGTAAATATTTTTTTGTGAACTACCACTTTAAGAAGCTGATTAAAAAGTATGTATATGTATCAATGTTTTCTGCTCACTTGTCTGTGTTGGCGGTTTTGCGGAACTCGCGGACTGTCATTGGCTTCTTCTGGATGTTGTACTGAGTGAAGAGACCCGATTGGCCAGTGACCACTTGTTGAATAGGGGTGGGAATCACCAGATCTTCAATGTCATCATATGTGCGCCGGGGCTTCCAGTCCTTCGGTGGCACCACCTGACAGACAAACACACCAATGAGATGATCACACACACAACACTAAAAATTCGGGCTGCACGATATTGAAAAAATCTAATATTGTGATTTTTTTCCTGCGATAAATATTGCGAAATGGATACAGTTTCACAAGACATTTTTAATAACACCATTTGATGGTTTTCTAATAGTATTCAGGTACAACAATTGAATCATCACAATAAAAAATGCTTTTCCTACTTTGTTTTGTCTCGTTTCTAGTCCAAATATCAAAACATTCGTAGAGCAAGTACTTTCACCATCAGAAAAAAATAAGTCCTTGTTTTCTTTAAAACCAGCTAAATTATCTGCCAGTAGGGTAAGTGAAATAATCTTGCTTTCGCTTTGAAATGTAGATATTTGTACTAGAATCAAGACAAAAATTCTAATAAGACATTCTGTTTTGCATAAATCATATAAATTCAATATAAATACAGTGATTGAATACAATTCTGTAGCTCCTGGTCAACTATAATTTAAACTCAACATTGCATATCTTTTGTGATGTGACTATTGCGGTTGTGCACATTGCAGTATCGATGCTGAAATGATATAGAAGCCTCCTTTTCACTGCACACGACAAGCGACAAGCGACAGACCGGAAGTCATTCATTTCCAATGGAGAGCAGTTTGGGAGCTGCGTGAGGTTACGATCATCTCTATATGTGGAAAATTCAGATCGGAATTGAGCTGTTGATCCATCGAAATATCTGAACTCCTGCGACTAGACCGTATGCGACCGGCCGGCAGGATGTGATGTATTCCAGTGTTGTACAAGCAAGTCCGTGCGCCCGAGATGAGAAATAGGAATTTATTTGGTTATATTTTTAATTATAAAAAGTCTATATTAAAAAAAAAACACATCTGTTCATAAACAAAAATAAGAAAGTAATAACAATATATATTTTTAATGTTGTCTCCACATTCCCTCCAATATTTTAGCGGCCTATGAGTTTCTCAACCCAAGCTAATTCTGAAAACGTAGCCCCGCTGACGTTTCTGGAGACGGCGATTTACATGGCCGGAGGAACGTATGGCCGCGTTTTATTTTTTTATCGAGCAAACGCTGTGGGGCGGTTTGACGCCGCTCCGCTCCTCCTCTTCATGCTCGCCGGCTGATGGCTCGCCTCCGTGTGGAGGGCTTTTCCGCCTCAACCAGTTTGTCCGCTTAGCTTGCAGCGTTACTTCGGCGGATTGGAGGCCTGAAGGGAGGAGGAGCCGGCCACGGCGACAACCGGGTTCCAGAAATCAGGTAAGATGAAAAACAGAATCCAAAAAAAAAAAAAAAGCGAACGAGTTTGAGACGGGGCGAGATCCGAAAACGCGGTCAAAATCGGACGAGGGCTTTTGCTTTTTTTTCTGAACGGCTTTTGCAAATCATCGCTTGGGTTTAGGGAAGGAGGAGGGCGGCTGTGTCGGCCGATTGGCCGCCCGGTCGATCGTTCAGTCGTTCAGCCAGTCAGTAGGACGGACGGTCGCTCTACATCGGTCTGCGGCGGCTTTTCACGCGAGAACAGCGCGGCCGCGAACGGCGCGCGCTCCCGAAAGGCGTCCGAGATGCGAAAAAGCGAAAGAACACAAAAACAAAAACTGCTCAAATACGTACCTCCCGGGACGTATTTTGCGGTCTCCAGAAACATCCGCGGGGCTACGTTTCCTCAATGAGCCCGGGTTGGAGTTTCTAGTATTCATTCCTTCATTAAACCATGTAAACGCACAGAGAATAAAGGCTCTTGCTTTTGCACTGCTTTATTTCAGACACTGTGAGAATCAGCTTCTTTCCCATGGTGAACGACAACACTGAAAATACTGTGCGACTGCCACAAGGGGGCGTACTCCGACAGTCGTGTCCAAATGTCGTGTGCGGTGGAAAGGCGGCTATATTGCTGAGCCTTACTACAAATGTTTTCTCACAGTAATCTGAGCTGAATGAATATATACAGTTCAACAAAAAGCAGGCTCACCTTTGCCATCCCGGCCCTGTGCGCCCCCTGCGACTCCATATATGCAATGTATCTGTTGAAGTCTTTGAACTCCTCTTTTGTGGGATGAAAGGTCATGATCCTGGTGGCAGGACTCTGGGAGCTTTGAGAGACCGAGTCCGAAGCCATTCTGACACTCGGACTGTAAGAGAAATTTAAAAGAAAATATGTAAGAAACACAATGAAGGGAAAAAGGAAATCCATATGCATCAATCACACCACAGCTAAACTGGTGGATACAAAACTACTTTATAGCTAATTAGGCATAGGCATGGGACGATAACTGGTTTCAAGGTTTATCGCGGTTTGGAAAAGCCAAGGTTTTAAAACCGCCAGAATTTTCTGATATACCGTTCCAATGATTTATGTTTTTTATTTATTTTTTTTTTATTTAGTTTTTTAGGGCAACAGTATCTGCAAAAACACCCTCCACATCAAAATCTACTGTTCCAAAATATATTAAATGTTTCTTAAAATAAAATATACTGTGTTTACAGAGACATTCAATAAAATAACACCATATTTTAGAGTAGTACAATGTTGTAACACCGTGATATTTTTATCCAAGGTTATCATTCCGTCACAATCTTATATCGGCCCATACCTAATTAGGTTTTATATCATGGTTTTATGATGTTGTGATTACTGTAATTAGCTTTTACTACTAATACATGCTTTTTTAAATGTCTGGGTGCAATACTAAAACTTTTATGAAACATTTATAATATTTTGAATCAGTAAACATATCAGGCTGACGAATTTAAATGAATCATTGACTTGTTGTCTGCATTAGTTTCAAAAACACTGATTTCTTTAAAATAAAAACAGCATCTTTGGACAGTTCATTTTGCTGTGGCGACCCCAGATTAATAAAGGGACTAAGCCGAAAAGAAAACGAATGATGAATGAATGGCATCTTTGGAGATCTTTTCTGCTGGAGATACTGTTGTATTAAAAAAAAAATAAATAAATATATATAAATAAAAAAGGTAAAAAAAAAATGGACATACCTTATGAAGGGAATAGTAGAAAATTATGGCGGTTTTAAAACCTTGACTTTTCTAAACCACTGTGTACCTTGAAAATGGTTATCGTCCCATGCCTATAGCTAACATATAAGTAATGATTAATTCTAAACAAATATAAATTTATATACAATAGCTTAATGTCATTATTTGTGTAGTTAGACTTGCAATTAAAATTATATTAATATGCATTAACTAAAAAAAATTGACAATTGACAACATGCTCATAATCTTTACTTGCAGAAATAAACTTAAAATAAGTTTTATTCACAATAACAATATGCTATAATAAAATGACAAAAATAAAAAGCAAAAATACACCCTCTACCAATTAATTCAAGCTCACAGTTAATAAAGATAATATTAATGAACTGTAGTAATTAATAACGGTTATTATTATGAATCTTGGAGCACCTGTAAACTCATATTAGCATGCTAGCTGACGTTAGCCAAATAAACATATCATATCTGTTCATTTGGAGTGTTTAACCAATAACCATCGTATATATGAATCTGTCATGATCTCACCATAAGGTTTTGCATAGAAACATTTAAAATTCTGACATCGAAATCTGTCAAAGTGACAGCTAAAAAACAACAACAAACACACACCGACGGCTAAAGCCGCTCAAAATGAACACAAACTTACTCCTGTCAGGCAAACACGCCTTTTTAGCTCAACACACACACGCTCGTATCTATACACATAGTGTAATTACACTTTTTATGGAGTGTATAACTGTGTTATTACATGAATTATTGATCGCTCCAAACTTTGATGAGCCTATTGGCTAACTACTGTAAACACAGACGTTCACACACTGAAACACACACGAAATCTGTACGTACGCATACAAATCCGATCATATATGTCAGTGGAGGAGGAGAGGAGTTTACTCACGGCTGTCGCAGACTCAGTTAAGTGATGTTGAGGTCGCAAACTCAGAAAAACGGCGCAGAAAAAGGCGATTGCAGATCAGACATGTCCTCCATTAGAGTGCAGCGACGCGCATGCGCACTCACTGTTTACAAAGATGGAAGAAGGCGTTCCCCTGCGCGCGCCCCCTAATCAACACACTCCACATGAGGACATAAAGATAATACGGACAATTTGTATATAACTTCCTCCATATGACCCAGCGATACCCTCCATATGGGTCAGAGAATATATGTAGATAATATAGATAGTATTGCTGTATGATAACACAAACGATAATCCGGTTACTGCACATAACGTTTTAAATTATAGCATAAGGCTATGGGTATTTTATATATTTATGTATAGATAAAAAGAGACGCAATTTTATGTAATTTAATTCACTCACATATGATATGAGCCATAAAACATATTTGACCCAAGAGAAATATAAAAATAAAATAGATAAAAAAAATAAATAAAGTGGATTAATGCACTTAAAATGTCATAAGGTCTACATCCCACATAGAACTGTAGATAATATTTGAAATATTTGATATATAAATAACTTGGTATATTCTATCTGTTTAGTCTGTTTAGTTATCTGTTTAGTCATATAGGCAAGCTATACTTATATACAGTGCATTCGGAAAGTATTGATAGTGCTTCACTTTTTCATGTTATAGCCTTATTTCAAAACGGATTAGTTAATTTAATTAATTAGTAAGTTAATTTGTTTCCGCAAAATTCTACACACAATAACCAATAATGACAATGTGAAAAATGTTGTTTTTAATTGTTGTAAATTTATCTAAAATAAAAGACCTGATCAATCACATGTACATCAGTATTCACAGCCTTTGCCGTGAAGCTCTAAGTTGAGCTCAGGTACATTCTGTTCCCACTGATCATTCTTGAGATGTTTCAGCAGCTTCATTGGAGTTCACCTGTGGTCAATTCAGTTGATTGGACATGATATGAAAAGGCGTACACCTGTCTATATAAGCTCTCAGGGTTGACAGTGCATGTCAAAGCACAAACCAAGCATGAAGACAAAGGCATTGCCTGTAGACCTCCGAGACAGGATTGTCTCGAGGCACAAGGCTGGGGAAGGTTACAGAAACATTTCTGCTGCTCTGAAAGTTGCAATGAGCACAGATGTCTCCATCATCCGTAAGTGGAAGATGTTTGGAACCACCAGGACTCTTACTACAGCTGGCCGGCCATCTAAGCTGAGTGATCAGGGGAGAAGGGCTTTAGTCAGGGAGGTGAACAATAACCTGATGGTCACTCTGTCTGATCTCCAGCGTTCTTCTGTGGAGAGAGGAGAACCTTACAGAAGGACAACCATCTGTGCAGCAATCCACCAATCAGGCCTGTATGGTAGTGTGGCCAGACGGAAGCCTTTCCCTGCCTGGAATTTGCCAAAAGGCATCTGAAGGACTCTCAGACCATAAGAAACAAACTTCTCTGGTCTGATGAGACTAAAATTGAACTCTTGGAGTAAATACCAGGCGTTACGTTTGGAGAAGACCAGGCAGCGCTCATCACCAGGCTAATACCATCCCTACAGTGAAGCATGGTGGTGGCAGCATCATGCTGTGGGGATGTTTTTCAGCAGCAGGAACTGGAAGACAGGATAGAGGGAAAGATGAATGCAGCAATGTACAGACACATCCTAAATGAAAACTTGCTTCAGAGTGCTCTTGACCTCAGACTGGGTTCATCTTCCAGCAGGATAATGACCCAAAGCACACCGCCAAAATATCAATGGAGTGGCTTCACAACAGCTCTGTGAATGTCCTTGAGTGGCCCAGCCAGAGCCCAGATCTAAATCCTATTGAACATCCCTGGAGAGATCTGAAAATGGCTGTACACCGTCGCTTTCCATCCAACCTGAAAGAGCTTGAGAGGTACTGCAAAGAGGAATGGGTATTAGTTCCCAAAGACAGGTGTGCCAAGCTTGTGGCATCATATTCAAAAACACTTGAGGCTGTAACCGCTGCCAAAAGTGCATCAGCAAAGTCTAGAGCAAACGCTGTGAATACTGATTTTTATTTTTAATTAATTTGCAACAATTTCAAAAACTCTTTTTTCACATTGTCATTGTGGTGGATTGAACGTTGAGCAAATAAATGAATTTAATCCATTCTGTAATAAGGCTGTCATATAACAAAATGTGGAAAAAGAGAAGTGCTATCAATACTTTCCAGATCCACTGTAAATAGAAATGAAAACCTTTAGATTGTCAATCTAATTCATAAACAGCTAAAATATGTATGTATAAAATATATCTTAACTATTGTCATATGGATGCAAGCATAAAGAAAAACTAAATGAAGTGAATGTACTATAATGTACCAGAGGTGTGGACTCGAGTCATGTGACTTGGACTCGAGTCAGACTCGAGTCATGAATTTGATGACTTTAGACTCGACTTGACAAAATATAAAAAGACTTGCAACTCGACTTGGACTTGAACATAAATGACTCGGACTTTCACTTGGACTTGCGCCTATTGACTTGTAAAGACTTGCTACTTTCTATAAAAAGCCCAAAGATAAAAAGTATGTTGATCAGAGCGCTCTATCTCTGTGTGTGTGTGTGTGTGTGACAGAAAGCATGCGCGCATACTTTCGACCACTAGCGCTTTGTGGCGCACTTCCGTGTTTTTGCACCAGCGGGAAATTTGAAGATGCCATTTTCATTCTGACTCGGAGAGTGAAATAAACACATCCAAGGTCTGCTCCTTTTGTTTTATTCAGCGGATTTACAACATCTGTCAAAGGTAAGAGACTTTACTACTCGCAATGTGTTACTGTTGTGCAAAAGCATTGTTTTACTGTTGTGCATAAGTCAATGAACTTCAGTTTTTTTAACCAAACTTACCCTCTCCTCATTTATTTCACATAATTATGAATGAACATGGCTGTAATTTATGTTTTTGCACTTGGTCGTTTGTGTCAATGCGCATATTATGTTTTATTTTTGTGTTTTGCCCATCCTCTGACAGTATTTTCTAACTATTTAATTAGTAGTAATAATAATTACATGCCATAATAACTAGATATATATAATTTATTTTTAAAGCTCTTAAAACTGTGAAAAAAGTGTTTTGTTATTTTTTGGTAACATTTTGCAATAAGGTTTTTTTAGTTAATCTATGTTCTAACATGAACTAATAATGAACTATACTTTTAAACCTTTATTAATTATAGTTTAACATTTACTATTGCATTATTACAATTTAAAGGTATGCTTGTTAACATTAATGTTAATGCACTGTGGTTTAACAAAAGTTAACCAATAATTTTATTTCCATTAATTAATGAATACTGTAATGATTTGTAACTGTACTTCACTGCATTGTTTGTTCACATTAGTACATAGATAAACTTAATTAATTAATACAACCTTATTGTAAAGTGTTACCTTTTTCATATTTTGGATTAATACTATTAATTTTATTTAGTATTTAAAACCTTAAAAGTATTTGTATTATTGTTGATGTTATGCCTCTTAGCAATATTTTAGTCCTCTACATGGTTTTTAATTAAACTTTTATTGCGAGATTGTAATGTAATGCATCTATATTGTTGAATTTCTGTTTGTTTGTTTTTCTGTATTTCCCCAGAAATATTTAAGGCTTATCTACTATTTTTAAGGTACTTAAAACCAACCATCTTAATAAAAAATACAATTAACAATCACATTTCGTTTCATGAGTGTCTTTGTTCCTGTTTTGTAGGACTCTTATTTTAACAGATTTCATTGGAAAACACTTGACTGATCATTCAATTAAAGTTTTACCTTTATTATTCCATCACTCAATGAGATCATTTAATTGTGAGTTGAATTACTCCATTTTTAATTGTTTTTAAATAAACTAAAAATGAAGACTTGTTTTATTCAGTTTGTTGAATTTGAACTCTACATATTAAAAGATATTTAAAACCACTATGAATGTATTTAAACTAATATTTAAATTTATATAACTGTTTCACTGTGGGTATTTCTATTTTAATTTATTTAGCACATTTATTGCCTATTCAAACATGAAAACAAGTTTTAATAATTTGTGGCTCTAATAAATTGTTAAACATTACAATATCCCTGCAGAAAAATCCAGCTTAAACCAGCCTAGGCTGGTAAGCTGGCTTTAGCTGGTCGACCAGGCTGGTTTTAGAGGGGTTTTGGTCAGTTCTAGGCTGGTTTCCAGCCATTTCCAGCCTGGTCTTAGCTGATCAGGCTGGAAACTGACCAGCAAAATCCAGCTAAAACCAGCTTGACCAGCCTGGTTTAAGCTGGACATAGCTGGTTTTGGCTGGGCTTCCAGCCTGGCTAGGCTGGTCAAGCTGGTTTTAGCTGGTCATCTCCCAGCCTGACCAGCTAAGACTAGGCTAAAAAATGGCTGGAAACCAGCCTGGAAGTGGCCAAAACCCCTCTAAAACCAGCCTAGTCGACCAGCTAAAACCAGCCTAGGCTGGTTCAAGCTGTATTTTTCAGTAGGGATTTTTGACAAAAAGGTCTAAAATGATAGTTTACAAGTGCCTAAGTGGGATTTGAACCCCGTTCTTTATGAAAAGAAAGAAAAATCTGATTGGCTCTGACATTACTTTCACCAGTGGGCAGGTAATTCAATCTGCTGGTCTCTCGTGCACGTATTCAGTCTCACTGCGTTTGCTTGACTTTTGTCCACACTGGCGCCTCAAACCTTTCCTGCTTTTGCTCTCCAGAGATCCTCCTGGTAAATTGATTATTCCAGAATGTTGATATGGTTTATCAATGTTAATAATGGTTTCCTTATTTTTATCACAGTTACATTTCTGCTTGCGTTAGTTATATTTTTGTTTAAATGTTTTATTTGATTAGTATGGTACACCTTTCGGGTGATTAATAATTGTTTGTAAAACAAAATGCATTCTTTACATCCAACATCTATTCTCTGTCTTTAAGTGTTTGTAACTGGAAATATCTCATCATAAAACATACAGCCAAAATGTTATGGTTTATTAGATTAAAAATTTAATATGTAAGTCTATTTTAGTATTTTGGTTATTGTTAATAAATAGTGCCTCAATATAAATCATAGCAAAAAGCACGAAAGGAAGAGGAAACACAAGACTCAAATTCTGTATATAATCTCTGAGAGCACGCAGGAAAATGTGTGTGTGAGCAGTGCATATTTGAGAGCGAGAAAATTTGCGCGTGAGCAGCGTATATTTCAGAGCTCGCAAGCAGTTTTGTCCACAGAGGAAATCGGTGCACGAGCGTCACACAAGGTAGAGAGCAAAGTTCTTCATTTTTATGTGAAGAAAACAACGTTAATTTTTGTATAAAGTAGCCTACGTCATTGAGAATATGTGCCACAATTTTACATTGCTGCTAGACAGATTTGCATCTTCATCTCTTCAGCACACACGAGATTCAATTGACAAAATACCAAGTTCACTCAATTTTACTTTGCAGCATACAGGAGTTGTTGTTCTACTGCTGCCTCATTGAGGTCGTTTATGTAGTTTTAGTTAATCACAAGTTGATCACAGAAGACATAACATAGCACAACGGAACTTAATGAACTAGACAGCAGTAGACCAGCAATTTCTGTGTGATGTGAGGCAAAATGGACTCTATTGTAGTGGAACTCGTTCTTGTGCAATGTGCTGTGTAGACAAGATGCAGCACTGTTTAGCACTTTTTCAGAAAATTACATTTGTGTTTTTATATATCTAAGCAATGTTCTTCCATAAAAAAAGGTTTGTTTAATAAATACAGATCTTACAACCATACATAATCTGTTTACAGTTCATTTTTCTGTTAAAAAGACTCGAAAAGACTCGAAAATCAAACTGCAGGACTTTGGACTTGACTTGAGACTTGTTGCCTTTGACTTGGGACTTGACTCGGGACTTGCCTGTCTTGACTTGGGACTTGACTCGGGACTTGAGGGCAATGAATTGAGACTTACTTGTGACTTGCCAAACAATGACTTGGTCCCACCTCTGGTGCTTACTGTAGTCTATCCTCTGGACAATTATTGACGATTTCAAGACCAAACGTTAAAAAATATGCAATTAAACGATTCGTGTCAGTCCAGTGATAAACAGAGCCATCGATTACGTTCGACAAACTGGTAATAGGGCTTAATTATTTGTTAATTACTATCTACTATGGGAAACAACAACTCTGACCCAAGACCAAAGCAACAATTTGTATCTAATTACTGAGATAATTAGCTTTCAATACAATTAGTAAACTTTCCTGTGGGGTGGTTGGGATTTTGGGAGGATGCCTAATGTCTCCAGGTGTTGGAGAACTAATGAATCATGTAGAATCCAGTCCACATGCCTTCGCATGAATCTGCAATGGCTGCTGGTCTGACTAGCTTTGGCCACAGAGCTCTGGCTAACCTTCTGGCAAAGAAACACTGGAAAGAAACCAGCCATCTGCTCCCTGGAAATGCGCTGAAGAAACGGCAGCAAAAGTCCCACAGTAAACATGTACAAAACTCAATTAAGCATTTTATTAACACATATTCCTCTCCTGTTTTTATTAACAAATAGAAAACAGACTGCCTGTACAACAGATTGGATATTTTTGTGAACACAAAGTGAAATGAATTCTTCCCATGTCCGCATTTCTCATCTTGCTTTGTGCCATAGGAGGAGAGAAACACTTGAGTACGCACATATTTTCAGTCCAGAGATGCAGTTTTGGGAGATTTGTCTTCACGAGCCACAGTGAGAAATGATTGGATGGCTGTTGACACCACATGGGAGAGATTTTTTTTTTGTTGGATCCTCTGCCGGTGAAGTGAGTTGTCTGTTATTTTTTTTATTTCCATTTCCCATTTGACGGATGGCAAGGGTCTGCTGGAGGTACCGGACGGCTGTACATGTGAGTGCAGGTCGAGGCCTGAGCTGACCTTTCACCTCTGCTGAACCTGCATGGAATAAAGACTCTGCTGCGGCAGCAGGAATGCATTTCTCTAGTCTTTATTTCCCTCCAGAATGGAGAGTTTCCAGAAAACCGCTGCTATTCAGAGCAGAACGGCTCTGCGCTCTCTCGTTTCATTGGTTTATTCAGTGTCCTTAAAGACAGCAGGTTCATTAAGGTCACTAACTCAGGTAAGCTTTTCACCTCCTCTTTTTAATCACGATTATACTGTTTTATAAAGTACCAGGAGGTGAAAAGGTTGTTTTTTTGTGTGTGTTATTTATCTATAAAAGTTCCCCTTTCCCACTAAATAAAAGTAGATCATTAAAATATAACAATGATACAAAGTAAGAAATCATCAGCAGCTCTTAATACACCCTTAATACAGTATTAGTAACCTGGGTCATGTGAAAATACATGTCCACATGTATGTGCTAAAAATAAAATACCAAAAATGATAATATAAGAAAAATAAGACCCCCATAGATATGCAACGATCAGCATAAATGATACAAATATTGTATTTTCTGACAAATATACCAATCATAATGATGATACAATAAAAATAATGATGATAATAATAATGATAAAAACAAGCATCGATATGGAAGAAAAGATCATGATGATGAAGCAGTAATAGAGAGCTGTGCATCAGAGAGCAGAATGAAGCTGCTTTTGTGGTTGTATGTTTCCAGAGAGAGGACCAAACAGGATTGCAGAGAAGTTCCAGTGAAGATGTCCTGTGATGTCTTCTCTCCTCTGATATATTCTCATTCTGTCTGTCTCTCTCTCTCTTTCTCTCTCTAGCAGTGTGATCGAACAGGTAGAATGACTATGGCTCAGAAATAAGCGGCGGCCCTCCGGAAGTGACGTGCTGAGGCATTCTGGGAGTGGTTACGTTGCATAGTGATCGAAGCTGCCCAGGTACTCCAGAGCTGCTCTGTAGCACAGCTGGTACTGGTCCTGTACACACGAGACACACAACGCTCAGATATAAAACACAACCGACAGCTTTGAACTAAAGGCCCTGAAATACTTTGTGAATTATTGAGGAACAAACTGCTGGGATGGCACTCTAGGCTAGTTCTTAACAACAGATGGCGCTCTTAAGCTAGTTTTTAACAGTAGATGGCGCTCATAGGCTAGTTTTTAACATTAGATGACACTCTAGGCTAGTTCTTAACAACAGATGGTGCTCTAGGTTAGTTTTTAACAACAGATGGCGCTCTTAGGCTAGTTTTTAACAGTAGATGGCGCTCATAGGCTAGTTTTTAACAGTAGATGGCGCTCATAGGCTAGTTTTTAACATTAGATGACACTGTAGGCTAATTCTTAACAACAGATGGTGCTCTAGGTTAGTTCTTAACAACAGATGGCGCTCTTAAGCTAGTTTTTAACAGTAGATGGCGCTCATAGGCTAGTTTTTAACATTAGATGACACTGTAGGCTAATTCTTAACAACAGATGGTGCTCTAGGTTAGTTTTTAACAACAGATGGCGCTCTTAAGCTAGTTTTTAACAGTAGATGGCGCTCATAGGCTAGTTTTTAACAGTAGATGGCGCTCATAGGCTAGTTTTTAACATTAGATGACACTCTAGGCTAGTTCTTAACAACAGATGGTGCTCTAGGTTAGTTTTTAACAGTAGATGGCGCTCATAGGCTAGTTTTTAACATTAGATGACACTCTAGGCTAGTTCTTAACAACAGATGGTGCTCTAGGTTAGTTCTTAACAACAGATGGCGCTCTTAAGCTAGTTTTTAACAGTAGATGGCGCTCATAGGCTAGTTTTTAACATTAGATGACACTCTAGGCTAGTTCTTACCAACAGATGGTGCTCTAGGTTAGTTCTTAACAACAGATGGCGCTCTTAAGCTAGTTTTTAACAGTAGATGGCGCTCATAGGCTAGTTTTTAAAATTAGATGACACTCTAGGCTAGTTCTTAACAACAGATGGTGCTCTAGGTTAGTTTTTAACAACAGATGGCGCTCTTAGGCTAGTTTTTAACAGTAGATGGCACTCATAGGCTAGTTTTTAACATTAGATGACACTCTAGGCTAGTTCTTAACAACAGATGGTGCTCTAGGTTAGTTCTTAACAACAGATGGCGCTCTTAAGCTAGTTTTTAACAGTAGATGGCGCTCATAGGCTAGTTTTTAACATTAGATGACACTCTAGGCTAGTTCTTACCAACAGATGGTGCTCTAGGTTAGTTCTTAACAACAGATGGCGCTCTTAAGCTAGTTTTTAACAGTAGATGGCGCTCATAGGCTAGTTTTTAAAATTAGATGACACTCTAGGCTAGTTCTTAACAACAGATGGTGCTCTAGGTTAGTTTTTAACAACAGATGGCGCTCTTAGGCTAGTTTTTAACAGTAGATGGCACTCTAGGCTAGTTCTTAACAACAGATGGTGCTCTAGGCTAGTTTTTAACAGCTGATGGCTCTCTTAGGCTAGTTTTTAACAGTAGATGGCGCTCATAGGCTAGTTTTTAACAGTAGATGGCACTCTAGGCTAGTTTTTAACAGTAGATGGCGCTCTAGACTAGTTTTTAACAGTAGATGGTGCTCTAGGCTAGTTTTCTAAAGTAGATAGTGATCTAGGCTAGTTCTAAACAATAATTGCCACTTTAGGCTAGTTTTTTGAAGCATGTGACGATCTAGGCTAGTTTTTAACAGTAGATAGCACTCTAGGTTAGTTTATAACAGTAGATGGAGCTCTAGGCAAGTTTTTAGTAGCGGATGGCAATCTAGGATAGTTTTTAACAGCAGGTGGCGCTCTAGGCTAGTTTCTAACTGTATAGTTTTAACAACAGATTGCGCTTTAGGCTAGTTTTTAACAGTAGATAGTGATAGGCTAGTTTTAAACAATATTTCTTTAGGCTAGTTTTTTGTAGCATATGACGATCTAGTTTTTAACAGTAGTTGGCACTCTGGGCTAGTTCTTAACAGCAGATGGCGCTCTAGGCAAGTTTTTAACAGTAGATAGCACTCTAGGCTAGTTTTAACATTATTTGACGCTCTCTCACCACTGCTTGGATTTAATCAATCTGTTGTATGAAGTGCCGTTTTGCTCGTAAAAACATTTCACATCACATCTTAGTAAAGATGGGGAAAAAAAGCTTTGTCGCTCTCATTATTCACTGATTCTCAGCAACATGAGTAAATAATGGCAGAGCTGCACATTTCAGGTTGTGAGAGTATCAGGTTTACCTCGGTCTGTACCATGGCAGGTCTCTGCGTGCGGAGTGTTTTTATGGTCTGGAACATGTCCACCACTCCTTCATACCTCATCCGCTCCAGAACAATACTTAAAGTGATGAAGACGCCTGTTCTGCCCACACCGGCACTGAGACAGAGAGAAGAAAGAGCAGTTCAGCACATATTCACGACATCAACATTTGCAGTTGGATTTTTGCAGCCTCTTACAATCAGCAACAGCATTTATGTGGTCAGAAATATGGTATGAAAGATTTTGAATGGCTGTTTTCTATGCAAATCTATTTTATTTCTGTGAATTTCTAGCATCATTAATCAGAAATTGTTCGTATATGCTGATTTGATGCTCTGTAAACATTTAACACAACAAAAAAGTGCTTCATATTTCAGTGAAAACTGTGATGCAGCTATTTTTCAGGATTCTTTGATGAACAGAAAGTTCAAAAGTACAGGATTTATATGAAACAAACCTTCTGCAACATTTTAAACACGTTTACTGTGGCAATTTAATGCAACCTTGATTAAAAAGAAACATATTAATTTATTTTAAATAATCATATTTACTTAATCATCAAGGTAATGTCGACATCTGAACAGATATAAAGTGAGCTCTTGGATTTAAGGGTATTTATTTAATAAATATCTGAATCTGAATATTTAATCCACCAGTGCTGCATGTTATAATGTGCTCCCTTATTCTTCTTCTCACCTGCAGTGAACAGTAATTGGTCCGTCCTGTCCAAACTGCTCCTTGGTTTTGTGGACTTGACCAATAAAATCAATAAAGCCCTCTCCTGTCTTTGGCACACCTTGTTCCGGCCAATCTGTGAACTGAAACTGTCGGATAGTCCGAGACTGGCCATCCTAAAAGAAAGAGAGAGAGATTTAATTCAAAGCACAATTTAACTCAAAGCACAGTTAAAAGCATAATCAACTTACTCTGGCGTCTGTGACTTTAAACTCCCGTAAGATGTACTGTGGCATGTTATATTCAGCCATAGGATCCACAACGAAATACTGGTAGCGCGCAGATCTCTCTGCAGGCCAGTACTGATGACATTTCTCCTGTGGAGAGCAATACACACGGTTATAAAAGCAGTTTCTTTGTTTTGTTACATTGATTCATTTTCTTGTCGGCTTAGTCCCTTTTTTACTCCGGGGTCGCCACAGCGGAATGAACCGCCAACTTATCCAGCAAGTTTTTACGCAGCATATGTCCTTCCAGCCGCAACCCATCTCTGGGAAACATCCACACACACATTCACATACACACTCATACACTACGTAATCCAATTCACCTGTACCGCAACCCAGAGAACATGCAAACTCCACACAGAAACGGCAACTGAGCTGAAGCTCGAACCAGCGACCTTCTTGCTGTGAGGCGACAGCACTACCTTCTGCGCCACTGCTTCGCCCTTTGTTTTGTTTTTTTAATTTCATTAAAATTTTCATATTTTGTTAAAATACAGATTTAAAAGAGCACAACGCTCCTAAATTAGACTCAATTGTTGCACTTGCACTTAAAGCTCTGTTGTTTGAAGTCTCATTCACACTACGAGCAACTTGCAGTGGCAAAGCGACAAGGGACCGTTCATTTTAACAGAGAGTGAGAAACTTCAAGCAACCTCTGTCTATGCAAGCGACAGATTGAGAATCTTTCAACTTTATACAAACGAAGAGCGACTTGCTTGAGCGACGGCCAATAGGAGCACCAGTAGAGCTCACGTGATCCTCTCTCACTCAGAGGCTGGTTGTATTCTCCGTGCTGTAGACCTACACAGTCCTGCGATTGCAGCAGATCGCCACCCAGAGCAACAGGCAGCTAAACAGTCACTGCTAATGTGAATGAGGCATGAATAACATATGAAAGTTGCTGTAAATATTATTTGTTCCTTATGTAACCCTGCCAGTCCTACGCCACTCAACCCGCTCTGAGCTGGTATGAACCGGCGACCTTCCGCATGGGATTCGGTTGCTCTAAAAAGGAGACTAAAGAGCATGGCTCGTAGCGTCTGTTGCTAGAGCACCTTTACAGGTCAGAGGAGTGAGGTTTACCTGCACAGCACTTACTAGCTGTCCTCCGTTACACCCCCCCCCCAAACCTCACTCCCTTCCGGGTCACGGCACCAATGTAACCCAGCCGGTCCTACACCACCCAACCCGCTCCGAGCTGGTATCGAACCGGCGGACTTCCGCATGGGAGTCGGTTGCTCTAACAAGGAGGCTAAAGACTATGGCCTCTAGCATCTGTCGCTAGAGCACCTTTAGAGGTCAGAGGAGAGAGGTTTACCTGCACAGCATTCATGTTTTATTAAGCTTATTTTTCTCTTTTTTACACTATATTAAAATAGTTATGTGAACACTTTAGCCCGACATGTTGCATTGTTTCATGTTTTACTCTGAATCGACTTTGACTTTGAGTTCATTTTTTGTTTGACTCATCGGCTTTGAATGTGTTGACCGTTATGTGCGCGGGAATGTGAGTGTCAGAACTCACCCGTCCCATCTCTCTAAGCTTCGTCAGCATCACCACGATGGTGGAGTTGTGCTCCCAAAGCATCCTCCAGAAGTCCTCTGTGGTTTCAGACAGCGGGCCTTGAGTGGCGATATATGCCTTCTGCTGCCTGTAGACACAGTTTATAACACAACGATGAAACACTATGACAATAAACAAGCATTACAGCTTCAAGCACTCACTCAAATAAACAAGGAATTGTGGCAAAAACGTCACCAAAATGCATGAATTAGCTCAATATAAAGTGGTAAAAATGTCACTGCGCAAAAAAGCTAAACTATTAAGGACGTTGCAATTAAAGATGAATGAAGATATCTGCAGATGTTGCATCAGATCTTCTTACAATGCAGTAAACTTAATTTTTCACAGTGAAAAATGAGTTGTTTTGAATGCACATATACTCAATGACTGAATCTGCACACCTCTCCGCTTGCACAACACACTGCTGAAATGCTCAGAGATTCATTCTGCTGCTTCAGTGATTAGGATAAGGGTTTTTGCAAAACATCACGAACTGACATATTATGTTTTTATGCATAGACAAATTATGACATGCCCTTTGTCCAACCAATAATAATGATATTTATGTATTTAATAAAAAATTTGACTAACCCTACCTTATAGTTAGTTGTTACTTAAAAAATGCACAATTTATATACAATTTTAGCTATTTGTTGTTGTATTTAGTTGCAGTTTAAAGTATTTTAGACTGAATTAAAGGGATAGTTCACCCAAAAATACAAATTCATTTACTTAACATTCACTTTTTCTAAACATGTTTGAGGTTCTCTCTCCTGTTGAACAGAAAGGGAACTTTTTCATTCAGTTTATTCATCCATCCATCCATCCATATATCCATCCATCCATCCATCCATCCATCCATTCATTCATTTATCCATTTATTCATTTATTACTTTATTTTCATCCGCTTTTTCGGGGACGGGTCGCAGGGGCAGTAGTCTCAGGAGAGAACCTCAGACTTCCCTGTCCCCAGACACTTCCTCCAGCTCCTCCCGGGGGTATCCCGAGGTGTTCCCAGGCCAGCTGAGAGACATATTCCCTCCAGTGTGTCCTGGGTCTTCCCCGAGGCCTCCTCCGGGTGGGACATGCCTGGAACACCTCCCTAGGTAGGCGTCCTTGAGGCATCCAAAATAGATGCTCAAACCACCTCAGCCGAGTTTCGGCTCAGCTCCTTTACCACAATGGACCAATACATCGACCACATTACTGCTGCCGCTGCACCAATCCTCCTGTCGATCTCACGATCCATCCTTCCCTCACTCATGATCAAAACCCCAAGATACTTGAACTCCTCCACCTGGAGTAAGGACTTTCCTCCAACCTGGAGATGACAAACCACCCTTTTCCAGTGGAGCACCGTGACCTCAGGCTTGAAGGTGCTGTTTCTCATCCTATCCGTGTCACACTCAGCAACATACAGCCCCTTCTTTATTCGGTTTTTAATATGAATGTCAAAGTGTCTAACATTCTTCAAAATATCTTCCTAAATATTTCCTTCCAAAAATAAATCCAGGAGGCAAACATTAACTCTTAAATTGACTTTTAAAGTATAAGTTCACCCAAAAATGCCCCTGATATGAAGTGTGTGTGTAGATTAAAGTAGTGATTCCTCTCATCTAACAGCAGGAGGCGCTGCAGCTGCATGACTGTGATCATAAATGCTGAAGATGCCATGAAAGAGAGAAAGACAGCCGAGAGAGATGCTGGATGTGTAGGAGAGAGACAGACAGATATGATAGTGCTGTGAAGACAGCAGAGCTTCAGATCCCTCAAACACTGACGTTTAGCAGCGTGAGGATGTGAGAAGCTTCCAGCACTCATGCTGATGTCCTGCTGAGATCCCCAGGTCTCCGCTGAAGATTTTACTCAGAAAAAAATGAGCAAATGTGTCTCCGAGGAGGGTGAACGAGTGGAGAAAATGTCTAATCCACCTTGTGCAAGCCTCATTATTCGATCGCAGTGATTTTATCACCACGGGTCTCTAAATGCCACAGCCGGATTACTAACATTATTGGTGGGCTCTAACTGGACATATTGGTGATAAAATCTGGTTTTTCTAGAGAGGAAGGTGTTTCGTGTACGTTCCAGCAATGCATAATGCGTCACATCGTCAACTAGATGATCACAGTGAGTCAAACTCACACAGAATACTGACATGCTTTCCATATGTAATCATCTTGGCTTGAGAAATCACCACATTCTGGCAATCGTCCAGAACACCATGGCAACCTCTGCACAGCCACCCAGATCATACATCCTCATTCTGAACATCATAGAAACACCCCAGAATAGCTTTGATGGACCCTTTTCACATTACTGGGTTTCTCTTAGTGATGTGCGATACAGGGACGGACTGGGACTAAAAACCAGCCCTGGCACTGTAGCCACACCAGCCCACATTACCACACCGACACAGCCCCACCCAAGGACACGCACATTCACAACTTATATTGGTGTACAGATGGTAAAATTATATAAGCAGTACATTATTTAAGAGATATTTAAACATTTAATGTATGTGACTGGAACAAAAGCAACCCATTTATATATGCAATCATGTCATTCATTTTCTTTTCGGCTTAGTCCCTTTATTAATCTGGGAATCAGCAACTTATCCAGCATATGTTTTACACAGCGGATGCCCTCAAAGCTGCAACCCATTATACTGGGTTAACCAATTCACAATTGGCCTACCCAATTCACCTATAGCATGTGTTTGGACTTGTGAAGGAAACCAGAAGGAAATCAACGCGAACATGCAAACTCCACACAGAAACACCAACTGACCCAGATGAGGCTCAAACCAGCGACTTTCTTGCTCTGAGGCGACAGCACTACCTACTGCGCCATCACACTGCCCCCTTTCGAGACTAGTTCAGTAAATTTTATGTATTTGGCAATGTCTGACTTGACTGCCTTTCCCTTTTCTTTTTTTTTTTTGCACACTGTTTGTTTGACATTCTTTCCAGATTTTGATTACATCCGAGTAGCCTCAGATTGGGTCGGCCCATCTCGAAACTAGCCGGTCGTTGCCAACTGTGCCAATGCTTAACATTTACTATTATTCTTACTATTACCACCATCATCATCATCATAATATTCACATCTCGCACAAGATAAAAGCTGCCTACATTTAAAAAACAATACATATGAAAAAAATAAAATAAAATAGGTGACCGGCCCACATTTAAAAAATGGTCCGGCCCTTCTGGCATTTGCCAGAATTGCCAGATGGCCAGTCCGCCCCTGGTGCGATACCACTGATTTCCTATCAGATCTGATACCAAGTAAAATGAAAGCGAGTATCAGCGATACCGATCCAATACTGCCCAAAAATGACTGTTTAGGAAATTAAAGTAACAAGTGGTGTACTTAAAACTGTCACACACACACACACACAGACACACACAGGTGTGATAGAGCCTCATTTGCTCATTAAATGACAAGAAACAAAATTGCTGCCCCTCTGCACATCGCACACACGCACACACATGCTGTACATACACACACACACTGAAAGCTCATCAAGCTAAAAGCATGTGAAAGCCCTTCTCCCTCTGTCCTTCATTACAAACGCGATTACTGCCAATTACGCTGTTTACACTTCAGTACGGCGGCAGATGCAGTGGGAGCTCTTTGATTGGCCGTTAATTTGATTAAGGGCCAATAATGAGCCTAGATTCTTGACACACCTCCATGGCTCCACCTCACATGACCCTCAGTAGCAGTGGAAGCAATTCACATTTGATTCTGGATGTTAGTAAAGGACCGGTCATTTGTTTTTGCAGCAAGTGCTTAAAAGTTGCAAAGAATTAAAGCAACTCAAAGATTACAGCCGCAGTAAATGGGATATTGGTAATGGTTTGTATTGTGAATATAATGCCTTAATATGATATTTATTGATTGAATAACATTGTAACAATAAAAGCATAATAATAATAATTTTTCAATTAATACAAATTGATTAAATTAATAAATATTACATTTATTAATATAAATATTGCAATACAAGTTTTGCACAGTAAAATATATTAATAATTATAATAATAAGAATAATATGTATTATTATTTTATAATTACAAATTAATTAAAATTCAATAAATATCACATTTATTATTAATATAAACATTGCAGTAAAAGATTTGCATAGTACATAAAATGTATTATTATTATTTTTATTAATAATAATAATAATTATTATGATTATTATCATGGTTATTACTATTATTTTGTTAATACAAATTATATCTTCTAGTAACATTAATAATAATAAAAATAATAATAATATGTATTATTATTTTATCATTACAAATGAATTTAAATTCACTAAATATTAAATTTATTAATATTAACATTGGAGTATTAGTTTTGCATAGTAAATAAAATGTAATAATAATAATAATAATAATAAATGGTTATTAATTTATTATTATTATTTTATTAATACAATTGAATTAAATCTATAAATATTTAGTAATTAATAGTTTAGTATGTAAATAAATTGTATTAATATACGACTACTTTTAATACTACTACTACTACTACTAATATGTATTAATATTATTTTATCAATATACATTAATTCAAATTTTTAATGATATTCATTGATATAAACTTTGCAGTAATAGTATTGCATTGTAAATAAAATGTAATAATAAGAATAATTGTTGTTAGTATTAATATTGTTATTTTATCAATACAAATTAATTAATTAATTAATTCATTCATTCATTTTCTTTTAGGCTTAGTCCCTTTATTAATCTGGGGTCGTCACAGCGGAATGAACCGCCAACTTATCCAGCATATGTTTTTACACATCGGATGCCCTTGCAGCTGCAACCCATCTTTGGAAAACATGACACACTCATTCACACTCGTACACTATGGACAACCTGTACCATGTGTTTTTGGACTGTGGGGGAAACCGGAGGAAAACCACGCGAACGCACAGAGAACATGCAAACTCTACACAGAAATGCCAACTGACCCAGCCGAGGCAAGAACCAGCAACCTTCTTACTGTGAGGCGACAGCACTACCTACTGCGCCACCGCGTCGCCCCTAAATTAATTAGTTCTATAAATATTTATTTATTAATAGTTTTACATATAAATAAATTAGTATAATTATCATAATTAAATTAATACATTTAAATATTAATATACAACTGCTAATGATAATAATTAAAAAAAATTAGTATTATACTACTGTTATGTTATTGTTATTATTTTTATTATTATCATCTTGTTATTAATGTTATTTTTATGTGTAAGTGAATAAAAGCATCACTGTGCTTTACTCTGAAACACAACATATTACACTATATATCAATGCCTCTGTCTTACATGTGGGTCATACAGTAATTCAGGTCAGACAATCTGGAAACAAAAACAAACAAAAACAACAACAATCATCCTCCTGTGAATGATCCCTTCAGGTCTCAGTAAAGAGCTTGACTGCAACCCTGTGCAGGCTGAGCGTTTATCAGTATGTGCGTCTGTGTGTGTGATAGATTGAGCGCTTCATGGAGACCGGACTCCTCATGACGGCTAATCCTTTTATTTGTCCGCTGAAGTGTGTTCATAAGCTGTCAGCTCGTGGCCGCAGGACCGCACTGATTCCCCAGTGCTGATAGAGCTCCGCTTATGGACAGTCCTGCCAATAAGAACAATTTGTCCTGACAAGCAGCGGCACAAAAGCAGCAGACATGCAGACGCAGACTTCCCAGATGCTCATGACTCTGAGCTGTCACATCCAGCAGCGCGGGACAGTGACGGAGAGACCCACGCAACACACACACACACACACACACACACAACCTTTATCTCTTTACTCCACAGCAGGATTCACTGTTACTTGCAGACGCCTGGGCAAAGTTCTGTCTTTAAGATCTGGTCAAAAGTCTGGGCTTAATATGATATTGTATCAACTTAAGGTTATTTTAAGATTGTAATATTAATTTTCCGCAGTTATTAATGTAAAGGAAGTGCTTCTTTTAAGTATTTTAAATTTATAAATTGTTATATGATAATAATACATGCTTTGCCATGCATAATTCTGATTGGTTAGTCACATCTGTATTTGCATAGTGGCAACAATAGTTTGCATTGTAAATATACACTCATTGGCCACTTTATTAGGTACACCTTACTAGTACCTGTCCCCCTTTTGCCTTCAGAACTGCCTTAATCCCTCGTGGCCGAGATTCAACAAGGTACTGGGAATATTCCTTAGCAATTTTACTCCATTGGATTGAGATCTGGTGACTGTGGAGGCCATTTGAGTTCAGTGAACTCATTGTCATGTTCAAGAAACCAGTCTGAGATGATTCACGCTTTATGGTGACATGGTGTGTTATCCTGCTGGAAGTAGCCATCAGAAGATGCAGACATTGTGGTCATAAAGGGATGGACATGGTCAGGAACAATACTCAGGTAGGCTGTGGTGTTGACACGATGCTCAATTGGAAATATCTCCCACACCATTACACCACAACCACCGGCCTATTGATACAAGACAGGATGGATCCTGGCAAAGTCACTTAAATCACCTTTCTTCCCCATTCTGATGCTTGGTTTGAACTGCAGCAGATCGTCTTGACCATGTCTACATTCCTAAATGCATCGAGTTGCTGCCATGTGATTGGCTGATTTGTCTAAACGAGCAGTTGGACAGGTGTACCTAATAAATTGTCCAGTGAGTGTAATGCCTTTATATAATATAATAAAATTAGTTAATTAAGCCGATAAATATTACATTCATTAATAGAAACAATGCAGTAATAATTTTGTATAGTAAATAAAATATAATATATATATATATATATATATATATATATATATATATATATATATATGTATATATATATATATATCAACCCAACCGTTTTTAATAATAATAATAATAATAATAATAATAATAATAATAATAATCATTCATTCATTTTCTTGTCGGCTTAGTCTCTTTATTAATCCGGGGTCGCCACAGCAGAATGAACCGCCAACTTATCCAGCAAGTTTTTACGCAGCGAATGCCCTTCCAGCCGCAACCCATCTCTGGAAAACATCCACACACACACTAATACACTACGGACAATTTAGCCAACCCAATTCACCTGTACCGCATGTCTTTAGACTGTGGGGGAAACCGGAGCACCTGGAGGAAACCCACGCGAACGCAGGGAGAACATGCAAACTCTACACAGAAACGCCAACTGAGCCGAGGATCGAACCAGCGACCCAGCAACCTTCTTGCTGTGAGGCAAATGTGCTACTCACTGCGCCACTGCGTTGCCAATAATATTAATAATAATAATAATAATAATAATAATAATAATAATAATAATTATTATTATTATTATTATTATTATTATTATTATTATTATTATTATTAATATTATTATTATTATTATTATTATTATTATAATAAAGGTGTTTGGAACAGCTGATCATCATATGATGATTTTTTTGGACACCACATGACACCACAGACTGAATTTCAGTTTTAAATGACAGGAATAAATACAATTTTAGACTAAGAAAACATTTCATTAAATTGTAATAATAATTCACAACTTTTACAGTATTTTTGTCTACAGTATTTGAAAATAGGCTTCCTTTAAAAGCTTTTTTGGGGGAAAGTTCATGAGTGTGAGTTTACGTTTGCTGCACTAAGGAATGTTAAGTTGAAATGGCAGAATGTACTGTACTGAATGTGCTGAAAAGCTGTTCAGATTCCTGCATACACACAAGCACGCAAGGACAGCACACACACCTGTATCCGTCGATGAAGCTGGCGTTGATGTAGTCGGAGCCCTCCACGCCTCTGATTGGCTGCAGACAAACACGGCTGGACTCGAAAGGCATGATGTTCACCAGCCGGTTCTTGAATTTGTTGCAGGGCAGACTAGCGCTGATGAATCTGGAGGTGTGTGCTTTAGAGTTGGCCAGTTTCTGTAGAGAGACAACAAACAACTCATTAAAGTCCACCTGAACCGGAAGCTGCGACCAAGCAGTTTCAAGAGAAACGGTATATTAAGTGAAAAACAGTGAGCGTGGATATTCATTTTTAAACACCAGGGGCCTCATGTACGAAGACTTGCGTGGAAATCATCCTAAAACATTGCGTACGCACAAAGCTGTAAATGTGCGTACGCAGAAAAAAATTCAGATGTATGAAACACTGCGTACGCCGAATCCCACGCATATTCTTTTGTACATCCGAATGAACGTGAATCTGAGCGCAACATGCATGAGCGCAAAACCCCTCCCTGCCTCCTCCCCCGTATGAATATGCTAATGACTCTACTTTGGCAAAACCCAACGAAAAAGCAATGGAAAATCAAGCAAGAGAAACTGAACAGAATGTGAATTGAAGGTGCTGCTTTCGGAGGTAGACCAGAGGAAAGCGGTGTTATTTGCAAGTTTGTCCTACGGAATTAACAACAAAAGAAAAAAATAGAGTAGGGAAAGTTTAGCTGATGCGGTTAACACAGTTAACACAGTGGAGTTAAAAGAGAGATGGTGTGATTTATAGGTAGAAAATGTTGTAATACCTTTACAGTCTCAGTGGCGCAGCTCGTAAAATCCATGATAACACACTGAAAAAAATTATTCAAAGATGATTCTTTGGATTTACTAAATTTTTTATGGTTAAGTGGTTGTAAACTATTTATTTGGGCTGAATTTAAACAAACAAATTAAGTTAAACATTATTAAACTTAATTTGTTTGTTTAAATTCAACACAAAAAATTGTTTGCAACAGGTCTGCATGCAACACTTTTTTTAGTGCATGTTTTGACACGTTCGAGCATGAACTCGGTTCGAATCCAGCATCTGATGAACTCATTCTTCTTTTTTTCCTCGTTACATATCAGAGTTTGCCTACTATTTATCACGAGAAAGACAGGAAGGAATCATTAATAAGTTTGTGCATCATATTTTATTTGCACATTTATTGAATGGAAATGTTTCTGATTCTTGCATGCAAATTCATCTTCAGGTGGTGCCTTTATAGCAATGCGTGCCGTAGATCGCTCCCATTACACTGGGAAAACAGGCGACTGCTGCAAATTGCGTTTTAATGTTTGGCTGGTTAACTGTATGGTATGGAAATCTTATATACCTGCTAGATGAACCCGTCTCATTCAGCTGCCATTGCAAGGCTCAGACACTTTGTAGAGTGCAATTTAACACAACTGCCTCTAGGAGTCGCCAATGGAAATAAAACAGACACGCACAAAGAATGTGCGTACGCCAGCCATAAAGCTGCCGTGGAGCTGCGCACATTCCCACGTTCAGTTCATCGTTAGTAAATCCACCTGGCGTACGCAAAGTTTTTGTGCGTACGCAGCGTTGATACATGAGGCCCCAGGTTTGGGTGGTAACATCATATTTGGCGTATTATAACCTGCACTATTTATTAGACTCAGCATTTTTGCTTAATTCAATAAATGAAAACTCCAGCTTCAAGTTAACTATTAATGGCCCGATACAGTATAAAACACAAAACAGATTTGATCTCAAGAAGTTTTCCATTGTCAACATTTGATATCTTTCTTTTTGTCAGAGTGTTTTGAGAGGCTTTGTTCTCAAACTTGAAATGATGCGATCTTTTTGAATCTCAGCGTGTCACCAGGATGCATCAAGGGAGAAAAGCAGCCCATTAAAGTCATTCATGTTGTGCAGAGAAAACTCGCGACTGCACATATGAAACAGCAAGCTTTAACATCCTGATTCCATCCTCAGCGCTTGTGTAATGATCTGCACGTGGAGCCTCATCATTCAGGCTGTGGAGCGTCTCTCAGGACAGATGTTGTATGTTCAAGACAGATGTGCAGAAAGGTTTTCATGCATGAAACTCTCACCACCGTCACAAATACTGCAGTCTGTCAGCTTCTTCCTCAGCGCTTTCAGCAACTCAAATCTGCACTTTTGCTTTGGCAAGAATGTTTTCAAATTTCAACATCAATGTGTCTGTTTGTTTGATTTTTTTTGCCTACAGATTGTTTTAAGCTCCTCTGTTTACTCTTCTTACTCTTACTCTTCTTATTTCTGTGTAGTGCTTGTTATTGACAGTGTATCTGTGCACTCGGTTATTTTGTAAAAAATGTATTTGCTCTCAAAATCTGTAATCAAATATCATAAGCTTCGCTTCCATGAAATGACTTTGCTTCACTTCTAGTCACATGGAATTCCTTTAGGGCGGGGCTATCAGTCATTTAGGGTGGGTCTATCAGTAATTTGGGTGGGGTTATCAGTCATTTGGGGCGGGTCTGTTATTCCTTTAGGGCAGGTCTATCAGTCCTTTAGGGTGTATCTATCAGTCCTTTAAAGCAGAACTATTAATCCTTTAGGGTGTGGCTATCGGTCATTTAAGGTAGGGCTATTAATCCATTAGGGCAGAGTTATCAGTCCTTTAAGGCAGGGCTATCAGTCTTTTAGGGTGTGGCTATCAGTCCTTTAAGGCAAGGCTATTAGTCTATTAGGGCAAAGCTATCAGTCCTTTAAGGTGTGACTATCAGTCCTTTAAGGCAGGACTATCAGTACTTTAGGGTGTGGCTATCAGTCCTTTAGGGTGTGGCTATCAGTCCTTTAAGGCAGCACTATCAGTCTTTTAGGGTGTGGCTATCAGTCCTTTAAGGCAGGGCTATCAGTCCTTTAGGGTGTGGCTATCAGTCCTTTAAGGCAGGACTATCAGTACTTTAGGGTGTGGCTATCAGTCTTTTAGGGTGTGGCTATCAGTCCTTTAAGGCAGGACTATCAGTCTTTTAGGGTGTGGCTATCAGTCCTTTAAGGCAGGGCTATCAGTCCTTTAGGGTGTGGCTATCAGTCCTTTAAGGCAGGGCTATCAGTCTTTTAGGGTGTGGCTATCAGTCCTTTAAGGCAGGGCTATCAGTCTTTTAGGGTGTGGCTATCAGTCCTTTAAGGCAGGGCTATCAGTACTTTAGGGTGTGGCTATCAGTCTTTTAGGATGTGGCTATCAGTCCTTTAAGGCAGGACTATCAGTCCTTTAGGGTGTGGCTATCAGTCCTTTAAGGCAGGGCTATCAGTCTTTTAGGGTGTGGCTATCAGTCCTTTAAGGCAGGGCTATCAGTCTTTTAGGGTGTGGCTATCAGTCCTTTAAGGCAGGGCTATCAGTCCTTTAGGGTGTGGCTATCAGTCCTCTAGGGAGTGGCTATCAGTCCGTTAAGGCAGGGCTATCAATCTATTAGGGCGGAGCTATCAGTCCTTTAAGGCAGGGTTATTAGTCCTCTAGGACATGGCTTTCAGTCCTTTAAGGCAGGGCTATCATTCCTTTAGGGCAGGGCTATCAGTCCTCTATGGCGTGGGTATCAGTCCTTTAGGGCATGGCTATTAGTCTTGTAAGGTAGGGCTATCAGTCCTTTAGGGTGTGGCTATCAGTCTTTTGGGGTGGGTCAATCAATCCTTTAGGGCGGGGCTATCAGAGTGTGTCTTATTTCTGCAGTGCCTTCATCCATTTATCAATCTTCTTTCATTTCATTAGGAATGCCCATCTTCCAGCAATGCCATTGGTTCCCAAGGATTGAAATCATGCACCGCCCTAAATTTTTTCAGGACCATTTAAAGTGGATGTACATCCCAAAAGAGGATAAAAAGACTTAATTTACTTTCATTTATGATTTACATATAATATTCATTCATTTAATATTTATAATTTAGCATTTGAATAATTAAAATTTTAATAATATTTTGCTTGAGTTTAGCTTTAACATTAATGACATTTTGTCATTAATTTGTTTAATATTTATAATTTATTGTAGTTTAGCTGTAATTTATTGTACTAGAAAATGACGCAGTAAAACAAAATATACAATAGATTAAATACAACATTAATAAACCTCAAATAACAAAATAAAATAATCCACTGGTAATTGAAAGACTGGATGTGTGACAAGGTCATCATTAGTTGAAAATGTATTTCCACACATTGTGATTTTGTGTAGCTTTGAGAATTTTAATTTAGTAATATTAATTTCATCCTAAATTAAGCTCAATTTACACACTACAAGTAACTACAATCGCTTTTTACCGCGTGGTAAGCAGAAGACAGCAGGCGAGCAATGTAATGTCACTGGTTCAAAATATTAACAAATTCTGATTTAGTGTTGTTTTTGAGAACACCGGACTCTCTGTTGTGTCATGTTAGGTCAGGATGATGCATGTGAATGTGTGTGTGTGTGTATTTTCTGACCTTAAATTCGAGCTCCATGGCGGTGACGGTGTCTCCAGGCGGCGCCTGTGTGAGTTTCTGGATGTGTGTGTAGAGGCTCCGCGCCGGCACCTCTGTGTTCCCGCAGGTGGCAGCCTCCAGCAGGGCCTCGTGAATGAAAATGTACTGATCCTCTGTCTGCACCATGTAGTTCCTCTGAGAACGCATGCAGGTCACGTGACCGTAGATGTCCACCGACTTCTCGTGCTTCATCCGCTCCAGCATGGCGTCTATTACGATGAAACAGCCCGTCCGACCCACGCCAGCGCTTTCATGGAGAAACGCAAGAAAAAAAGTGATTAAATTCAGAATACTGAAAAAAGACAGCAACATTTATATAGTATTTTTTTCTGTTTGTTTGACTAATTATGTAAAATGAGCTGAAACAACACAACTCCAGTTTTTTTTGGGTGCACAACTTAATTGTTTTATGTTCAATCCACTTAAATTAGCAAAAACAATTAGCAGTTAACCTAAACAAATTGTGATGGAGCAACATGACAACATGCAAACTCCACACAGAAACGCTTACTGAGCCGAGGTTCAAACTAGCAAACCAGTGACCTTCTTGCTGTGAGGCGACAGCGCTACGTACTGCGCCACTGCCTCGCCACTTAATAAACAATTATCAATTAATAATTGATAAACTGTTATTGTGTTACTGTTATCTTTGGTAGCACTTTCAGATCGATAATACAGTCATATGTACCTGCATAGCACTAAAATATCTTTCAAATAATAATTGCTTTATATGTTAAACATTTTATTTCAACATTTTTACTTTAACGTTTTTTATTTTGACAGAAAACAATGCTAGAAAATTGTCCCAGAATGGTACAATAACACCGGAAATAAAAGCAAGCTGTAAATATCATATAATGACGCTATCTTTTGGCACTAATTTTGATCAAATCAAACACTGAAAGGATTGTTTGTTAGTTTAATATTTTACAACAAATTGTTTTATGCCACAAAACCTGGTCATTTTCAGGAATCGCTTTAATAATCAATAACCTTACTGGTGTGTTTGATGTTGCTGCTTGCTAGAAAGTGCTGGTCTGAGCATGCAGTTGGGTCTCCGTACCTGCAGCTTCACCCAACCCAACAGCAGGTGGCACTGTCTGAGAAAACGATAGGTCTGGAAGTGCAGCTCTGAGCGTGCAGTAGGGTCTCCGGGCCTGCAGTTTCACCTTACTCAAGAATACTGCGTGCTCGGCGCAGATAAGCGTTTCTTCTGGATGTCCTCTATGGCTGGCAGTGTGGTCCCTGTGATGCATTGGGCAGTTTTCACCACCCGCTGCAGTGCCTTACACTCAGCAACAGAGCAGCTTCCATACCAGACTGTGACGCAGTTGGCCATGCTTTCAATTGTGCAGCAGTAGAAATTCACCAATATGGCTGATGAAAGCTGGTTCTTCTTAAACTGCCTTAAGAAAAATAGGCGCTGGTGAGCCTTCTTGACCAGGCTGTAGGTGTTGGTGGTCCAGGAAAGGTCCTTTAAGATGTGCGCCCCCAGGAACTTGAATTTACTCCAGCTAAATTTATCAATTTCCCTCAAATAAAAGTTTTTTTGAGAAAAAAAGGGACGCTTTTATTTTTCCTACAGTGCTTTGAGGCTAAATAAATAAATCAGGAAGCATATTTTTTGACTTAATTCAGTTTTTCAGTGGATTATTTTTGTTCGTTTTTTTAATAGCAAGCTCTGGCAGCCCTGCATTGTTTGCTTCAATACTGAGAGACAGCAATCAAAAGAGGAACAAACAGAACAAAACAAAGAAGAGAATGAGGTCACGCTGTACCTGCAGTGCACCACCATGGGTCCCGCGTCAGGTGGGTTGCAGGCTTTGACCCTGCGTAAGAAGGCTAAAATGGGTGTGGGATATTCGGGAACACCGTGATCCGGCCACGCCATGAACTGGAACTGCCGAACCTCCCGTTTCTCGCTGGATCCATTCTGCCAGAATGCATTAAGAGAAATAAATCATCGGGAAAAACATAATTAAACAGACTCATGTGCAGTCATTGTAAAAGTCTTTTCAACTTTCCCACCAAACCTTTTTTTCTAATTAGGAAACTCTTTCAAATGTTGCTAACTCGTATTCTAGCAGACTGTAAGTTAACAAGAGTAGGTTTGTCTCCTATTAATTAATCAAGGATGCTTTTGTGGAAATATTTCTGTGTTCATTTATTCAGTTCTGCCGTGCGACGCCTCCACATCACAGCAACACTTTATTAATGAGCAGAAAAAGTTAAAGCTTTATTCATTTGTGCGATTGCAGCGTCTCTGACTGACAAATGTGTCAAACTTGCTGGAGATATGAAACTGTGCTCGTTGTTTGTAAATATTTTTAGAGAGACTGAATTGAAAGTACGTTTCAGGTGGGCTTGACTTGGTTGAAATGAACTCTGGAGCGGTTCGGTTGTAGTGAGAAAGCAATACGATCCAATGAACTAGGTTAGAGCACAGTGTATTATGGTTTCAGGAGTTCACACTTAGCTGATGATTGATTATAAAGCTTGTTTGGCATGCTGTCCTGGGAGAGAGCCCTGAGCTAATAAGATCCTCGAGCCCGGGGCTCCCTACTGCTTGCAAGGCGAGATGGGAGTTTGAGCTCAGGTAGATCTCAAGAACTCCCCTGCTGTAATAGCTAATGAACAGATAGGGATTGCTCTTAAGAGATAACTACTTACTAGGAGCATGACTATGGTGCTGATTTGGATCAGTCAATAACTTAAGCTGCATGTTTTTGGATGGTGGGAGGAAACTGGGGAACCCAGGGGAAACCCACATGAGCACGGGGAGAACATGTAAACTAAGCACAGAAATGTCAGCTGGCTTGGTGAGGACTAGAACCAGTGACGTTCTTGCTGTGACGCAACAGTGCTAACCCCTGGGCCACCGTGCCACCTATCTAGGAAAGGAGGAGGAGCAGGGGTGGAAGGGGGATTCTTCAAAACCAAGATGGCTGTAATATGGAACTTAGGGTATTTATAGTGGCTTAGGAATCGTCTGATTGGTCAATCATAAATTGAATAATGCGGGACCAGCTGCAAGCAACCATAGGCATGTGATCCTCTCGACATTAGTTTATAAATAAACATCACTATGTAATAGGTATATATATGGCTATAAGAGGAAAGCATGATGAGTAGGAAGTAATATTATTTAACAGTGTCAAAATCTTGATGGTTCTGTGGGTCTCGTCTATCAAATCTGAGCTTAATTTTGTATTTTGTATTAATTTCCAGTCAGGTGATTGGCTGGGCTATTCTACAGCTTGATTTTCTTTCTCTGAAAGCATTTGAGAGTCTCCTTGGCTGTGTTTTGGATTATTGTCTTGCTGAAATCACTCTAGTTTCATCTTCATCCTCCTGCTAATGTAGACGTTGGACTGAAGCAGCTGATATTGATTTACAGTGAGGAAGGGCAGAGGGTTGCTAAAGAACTACTGAGAGATTTCAACTGCTGTCTGGGCTTTCATTGCCTTTCTACACCTTCCTTTCTTCATGTGTTCAATACTTTTTCCCTGCCTCATTTAATTTTAGTACACATACCTGTGACTTAATGTGTAAACTAATTAGTTTAGTTTTCATTGCATATATGGACCTTTAGAAATATGCTTTCTAAGGAAAATGGTGACGTGTTTAATAATTATTTTCCCCACTGTATATAATACCGGGCTCCGGTTTCCCCCACAGTCCAAAGACATATGCGGTACAGGTGAATTGGGTAGGCTAAATTGTCCATAGTGTATGAGTGTGTGTGTGAATGTGTGTGTGGATGTTTCCCAGAGATGGGTTACGGCTGGAAGGGCATCCGCTGCGTAAAAACTTGCTGGATAAGTTGGCGGTTCATTCCGCTGTGGCGACCCCGGATTAATAAAGGGACTAAGCCGACAAGGAAATGAATGAATGAATGTATATAATACCAATGCAACTTCTGATATAGAACACAACAACTCTTGACAATTTTAATGAAGTTATGTATGACAAAGTCTTATCTCTGATTTACATTTGGTGATTATGTAAGTGGGTGTCACCATTTAAAATAAAAGCGCACCTCTTTGCCTATAATGACATATTTCTCATCATCATAAATTAAAATAACGATGTATAACAGCTGAGCAGAATTCAGAAAATCATCCAAACTCTGACCAACGTGAGGAGAGTTTACTCTCAGGTGACTTGTTTTAATAATTTTGATTCGTTTAGAAACTTTGCCGTGTGAAAGCGAACCGCACCGAGAACAAAACGCAAACGGTGTTACAATTTTAACTCCTGTTTCAAAGCAAAACAATCGATTAAAAGATGTGAAAGCACTCTTAAACAGATCAAAACGTGCCTGAAAGTGGTGTAAATCTGTAGTATGAACACACACACCTTGTAGAGAGCGAAGGTTCTGACGCTGTATGTGGCCAGCTCCACCGTATCCAGCATGGACACTTGAATCATCCCGTAAGTCTCTGTTCCTCGGCTTGGCCAGTACTGATCACACTTCACCTACAATCACAAACACACACACACCAGGTTGAGACCAGCTGAAGAGCATACTGATTGTGCATGTGTGTGTGTCCAGCCGTAGGGTCTCTCTCTGGGTGTTTGGGCAGATGGATGCATCACGCACCACAGACTGACCAGAACTGTGGCTGAACCTCAGGCTCTGAAAACACACTCATGGTCATATACTGCCTGCACACATACACACACATGAGTCATGCAGACACATTTGGTCTCGACAAGATAAGGAAAACAAGCACACACACACACTGACATGTGTTCGGTCCCCAAAACATAAAGATAAGACCAACCCAGGCTCATTCAGAAAACATACCACTACAGACACTTCCGGACAGCGACAAATATGTCCCAGGAGCTACGTTTTATTGTAGTTTTTGTTTGTCGCAAATCCATAAGAAGCCGCTGTGTACGCTTTTAGATCTCAAATTTCTCTTGGGAGAGCCATTCATGCCTGCTTTTCTATGTAAATAAATATTTGACTCTCACTATACCAAATATGATAGAAAATGATGTTAAATTTAGTTTATAAGTATAATTTTAGATTTTATTGGGGCCTCCCTGATGTCCTGGGGCCCCAAGCGGCCGCTTAGTTTGCTTATTGGTTAATTCCGGCCCTTCATGTGATTACAGGGATCAGAGGACTTTTATTCTGTACATAAATGCTCTGTTACCCAGTTAAACTCTGCTGTTATTTGGAGATTTCCGCCTGGATTTTGCCTACCCAAATTTAAGAGCTTCCCAAATCCACATGCAGAGGTGTAAATGCAAAAATGTGGTCTCATTTTAAAGAAAACCATTTGAATTTTTATAAAAAAAACTATTAAAAGTATTTAAAATAACTGTATATGCTGTCTGCGTTATAATATACACCTAAAAAAAGAGGTGCTTTTTTTTTTTTTTTTTTCATAAACTCAGATTTGAAAGTCTACCTTTTAGGTTGTGTGTGGTCTAGCTTGCTGTAATTAATTTCGGTGGTTCCTGCACATGTCTGTAATCATAGGAAAAAAGGAAACTGTCTCTACCATAATCTATGCAAATGTTATTGTATTCCAACTGATGAGAGGTGCTGTACAAGCCACAGGGAGCGATCATTGTTTTATATTTCACTATTTTTTTGTTTGATCAAACATAATTCACTGTGTTTGGACCACGTCAGACATATAAAAGGATTACTTATGCACATCACCTCAAAAACAGAGGAGAATGGCTCTGAAGCGCACAGCATAAGGTGAGAGATGACAGCTGTCTGTGCTATCTGGGGCTGCTTATTGATCATAAATGTATTGTTTCACTTCTGCACCATGGAAACACCGGGATTCATTCGGCAACTGTTTGATATGTGAATTTAATTCAGTAAAAAGAATGCTAGAACTGTATGAGCACCGGCAAGATCTTTCATTTGAGCTATAACTTGTACATGTGTCATGAAAAATATGAAAATGAACCAATGTAAAATACCCAGCTCGGGTCTCCAAAATACTGTGTATTTAAGTGTAAATAACTTTTGCACAGTAGAATAAAAACCAAAGTGATGCATATGTGCATAAAATATAGATTCTACACTTTCAAATGAAACCACTTAAGGGGGTCTGGTGCAATGCTAGCCCTTTAAATCTTAAGGCGAAAGTCAATGACGTCACAGACCTGGTACCGGGTCCGCAGAGTTTAACTGGTTAAATAAATATATTTTGCATTGCATGTAATTGCATTAAATTAAAAAAAGAAGTAAATTCCAGTAGAATAAACTATAAACTTACTTTAGATCGCCTTCCTGTGCATGTACTGTACAGTATATTAAGACTGGCCATGTGGAGGATAGAAAGAATGACCATCTGGTCACACGGCAGGTGAGGGAACATGTAACCCATCCCTCTCTCCTCTATCTCTCTCTCAAACACACACACACACGCCACTTCCATTTCACTAAACCTATTGGGACACTTATGGTCACTTCCTTTTCCATGCACATCACAGACAGCCCACGTGTTTGTGTATGTTAGCAAGGCAGGCAGATATTATATATAATCTCACCCTGCTCTTCTCCTCCAGTCGGGTCATCATGACGATAGTGCTGGTTCTCTGTTCCCACACCATCCTCCAGAAGTCACTGAGCGTCTCAGGCAGCGGACCCTGCGTGGCGATGTAGGCGTTCTGCTTACGGTAGCCATCAATGTAGTTTCCATTGATGTAGTCACTTCCGGGAACACCTGCGGTTCAACAGAGCCATGTTAATACATGTGCAGGCAGATAACTGCGACTAGATTGTGCTGTTTCCTTTTGTTCTAATTATCTACTGAGTGTTGCTTTGTTTTTCCTTGTGAACTATGCAGGTTTAGATTTTGAGATGTCAAGCTACTTTTGGGGAAAGAATTGATTTTAAAAGAAAGAAACTAGGATGCATTGAAGTGGTTAAAAGTGACTGTAAATATTTATAATATAACAAATTATGTGTATTTTTAAACAGCTGGTTCAATTCGTATGAATCATAGACTAAGCCGTAACGAATGAATTCATTTCAGATCAATTCAAAACTGTCTGAAATAAGTGTTGAAGTAAAGTTTTTGTTCTTACCATCCACAGGAGTCAGCACAACCCTGGAGTGATCGTAAGCGATGACGTTTGCGTAGCGGTTCTTGGGCTTGTTGACCTCTAAGTTGGAGTTTTCCCAGGTGAACTGCTGGCCAGGGTCAACAGACTGCAAAAAAACAGATGAGCAAAATGAGTTACTGAACTAAACCATCAACAGTGACACAAAAACACAGAAAATAAAGTCTCATTCTGTCTTTTAAATGTTCTATTGTGAAAAATCGTTTATCGGTAACACTTACTCACAGTTTTTACTACTGGCTAATTACATGATATTAACTGTTTATTAGCACTTATAGAGTATGAGCTTATTTTACATTGCGAATTCCAATACATAAACACAACTACCTCGCTTTCTATTAATAGGCAGCTAATTTGTAGTTTATTAGGCTAAATGTCTCAGTTATTGTTTTTTATTGATTTGTAAATAGCTTGATTGCACATCAAAATAAAGTGTGACTCCGCCAAATACAAAAAAAAAAACCCACTTGTTTGAAGCATATTTGAGTTTCTTCCTTCTGGCACACAGAAAAAAAGACAAACTTTTCCAAATATCTTTGTGTTCAATGGAAAATGAAAGATTATAACAACATAAGAGAAAGTAAGTGAATTTTCAATTTTGGTATTTAAAAAAATTTTTTCAACTCTCTCTTAAATCCCCTGAGCAGAATTGTAAATATAATTGTATATATATTAGTACTGTCAAAACTAGTGCGTTAACGCATGCGATTAATTTGAAATATTTAACACGTTTAAAAAAATTAACGCAATTAACGCAGTTGCAGTTTTTGTTTTTTCCTGTTGTGGGCTGAATGTGTACAATTGTTTGTATTCAATACTTTATTATTATTATTATTATTATTATTATTATTATTATTATCTATTTTCCATATCTGCACTGCCTGTATTTTGGCATTTTTGCAGTCCACTTAGAATCCAACATGGAAATCAGTTTTTTCTTTATTGGCATTGATTGTTTTGAAATTCAAATGGCATCAACATGCCTGTGTTTTTATTTCTGTAATAAATATGGCTGTCAAGCCAGGATTTATTGTGGTTATGTTGTTTACATAAAAAAATCTTTGTTACAAGTTAAACAAAATTTCTAATAAGCAATTATATTCTGAATTTCAAATAGTTTTTGTCTTTTGTCTGTGCGTTTACATTAATTTTACATTTTAATAGCCAAAATTTTCAGTCTTTTAAATGCGATTAATTAAAAAAGTGCGATTAATAATTTTTTTATTCGATTGACAGCACTAATATATATATATATATATATATATGGATTAATTTATGGATTAATCATTCACACTCATACACTAGGAGGACAATTTAGCCTATCCAATTCACCTGTACCGCATGTCTTTGGACTGTGGGGGAAACTGGAGCTCCCGAGGACACCCACACGAACAAGGGGAGAACATGCAAACTCCACACAGAAACGCCAACTGACTCAGCCTAGGCTCAAACCAGTAACCTTCTTGCTGTGAGGCGACAGCACTACCTACTGCACCACTGTGTCGCCTTCACACACATACACTGCAGCCAATTTAGTTTATTCAATGTCTTTGGACTGTGGGGGAAACCGGAGCACCAGGAGGAAAGATTAAACCCATGCAAACATGGGGAGAACATGCAAACTCCACGCAGAAATGCCAATATATGGGGGTCACGGTGACGGAGTGAGTAGCACATTCGCCTCACAGCAAGAAGGTCGCTGGTTTGTGCCTCGGCTGGGTCAGTTGGCATTTCTGTGTGGAGTTTGCATGTTCTCCCTGTGTTCGTGTGGGTATCCTCGGGAGCTCCGGCTTCCCCCCACAGTCCAAAGATGTGGTATAGGTGAATTATGTAAGCTTAATTGTCCGTAGTGTATAAGTGTGTATGGATTTTTCTCAGGGATGGCTTGCGGCTGTGGTGACCCAAGATTTTTGGACTAAGCCAAAAAAAAAAAAAAAAAAAAAAAAAAAAAATATATATATATATATATATATATATATATATATATATATATATATATATATATATATATATATATATATATATATATATAATGTAGATCTGTTTATTAAACTTTTACATAAACAAAATGAAATTCCAATTAATCAAAAAAAGTAATAATAAAAAAATGCATAAAAAATAAATAAACATTTAAAAAGTATGTACATGTACATCCACAAACTTAAATTATACAAAAAATAAAGCTCTTTCAGATGTATTTTCGCAAAGAAATAAAATAAAAATGAACTCGCTGAAATCCAGCAGAATGGCTAAATAATGAGTGTTTTCAAACAGGTTTCTCAAACAGTCCTTACTCCATTTATTGTGTCTATTTTTGTAATCCATCACACTGTAACTACTGTAAATAACCAGAAATTTAATCAGACAATATTTACCAGGGAACCACAAGTAACTAAGAAAGAGGTTTTAGAGACATCAGTTGTAAACTACAGCCCTTTCAGATGTTTTTCATTTTATTTTGACCAAAGTTTGCGAAGGCATGGAATAATGTGCACCACTGAATCATTCATAATAAGAGCAGGGTCGGTTCTGCTTTCTGGATGAGTCTGGAACTGAATTTTCACCCGCAGTGCAAAAGCGAGCGGATGCACCACAACTGTGTAAATCTCATCCTTGACCTGCACGTCCACGACTGAATCCTAATCCTGTTACCATAGTGACGAGATAGCGGGTCATTCGGGTGAGGTTTAGACGTCTGCTCAGAACAGAACAATCTACACAACAATACTCTCTCAGAATGGAGAACTCATATCAAACATTCACCTGCATTACACAATTTAGGGCCAATAAGTTAGTATTGGTTATGTTAACTCTCATGAGCAATACATTTGCTACAGCACAAACTTTGTTAACGTGACGCTGTAAAAAATATTTAGAACTTCCGTATTTTGTGTTTTCTGTTTACTTACTTTTGTGAATTACATTATGGGATATTAATCTCAGCTCTGTCGATGTTGAAAATTCAACAAAGTGACTTTTATTGACATTTTAGTCGTTTGAAATATTGTATAAGAAATAATATATATACACAAATCAGTCTGTAAAACAACAGAAAATTTACTGTCAGTTTATTACAAGGATTTTGTCGCATAAAATACAGCACCAACACAGACAATATATTGCTGTAAACCAGGGGTTCTCAACGTTTTTCACTGCGGGGCCCACTTCTTTAATTAGTAATATAGTATTGAGAGTTCAATTTAATTTAAATGAAAATTTAAAGGGGTGGTCCACTACGATATTATATTTTAAACTTCAGTTGATGTGTAATGTATCTGTGTGAACATAAACAGCATCTCTGAATGTAAAATATTCAAAGTTTAATGCAAAGGGAGACCTTGATTTGTACAGAGTTAGCTTAGCAACGCCTACAATTAACGAATTTTGGGGACTACAAAAAATACTTCCGCCCCCTGTGAGATCACAAAAGTTCGTTATTGCGCATCCCACACTGCGCAGGTAAAGGCCGTGGCCAGAGGCGCTGTAACGTTACTGCAGAGAGAGAAATGCCATCCTGCTGTTTCCACAGAGCTGTTCTGTTTCTGTTGTTGGGCTTCCAAATGACACGACCCAAACACAGAAGTGCTTACAGTTCAATATTAATTATGTTCCAGAGAACTATAAAATACATAGCAAGCATGATTTGACAAAACACAGCTTCCAGAATCTCTCCCAGTTCAGTGCTGGATTCAGTTAAAATCTTCTCAAAGATGGAGCAAGGAGACGCTGTGAACTCTGAGTCATGACCTGTAAGTGTTTTTATTTGTTAAAATTGATCATGACATGTACAGTGTCTAACTTTAACGGTGTGTTGTAGCAAAGATGTAAACAACGGGAAATTATGGTAACCACTAACGACTTAGCTAACGTTACAAATCCATATTTATCAAACGGCTGTAAACGCACACACACACATACACATACACGCACTCTTGGCCAGCACCTGCGTCTATCTGTGTGAGACGGCAGAATTTCTCTCTATAGGCAGCTATGCTATGCGTTTTACAACTCGGACAATAAAGTCGCAAAAGATATGTGAACGATTCATGTTACTTACACAGGCATATTCCGCATATGCATGAAAGACGTCCTGTAACGCATTGATTTAAAAAAAATACAGCAATGATTTCCCAACTGGAGTGTAACATCAAAAACAAATCAATCCAGGCTCACAAAGGTCTCATCTCACATCTTGTGCTTTATTCTGTCACCACAGAAAATAACTTAATCCGAGCATGAGAGAAAAAGAACAATAAAAATCTCTCCCGCGCACATGCGCTTCTCGTGTTACAAATACTTCATCGTATACACGCATAAACACACTAAAAGGCACAGAAACAGTTAAAGGAGCCGCATCCCATTTTCACTCGTTACAGACACGTGTTGACTGACTGACTGACTGACTGACTGTTTACACAAAACGCGCGTGCTTGTCAGGGCGTGACGTGAAGCCGATCGGCGTATCACAGCATATTATGATGATGACCAATCAGAGTCACTTGAGGGTGGGCCTTTTAGAGGAACTAGGAAATATGACAGTCGTTTTCATGTTAGCTGAGTAGCTGTGTATAATCAAAGTGAGATTTATGAAAAAATAACACGATTTCCTTCAAGTTAAACATGAGCACACATTGCTTTGCATCTTATTAACACAACCAAGCCTTAAAAATAACATTCTGGACCACCCCTTTAAATTAGGAGATTAAAATTGAGGCGCAAAAAACAGCCTCATGATTGTGTCTGCAACTAGTACACGCATGCATGTTCATTCACAAACTATGCGGGCCACCGGTTGAAAATCCCTGCTCTATTAAAATGTTCATAAAAGTCACTTTTTCCAAATATTTCAAGCTTAAAAGTTGTTGGAAAAAAAATCAAAGATCGCATAATGAAATTCATCAGCATAAATAAATGCAGAAAAAAGAAAACATGAATCATAAAACACTGAATACAGCTGATTTACAGATATTTATACAGTATAGTTAAAAACATTACAGCAGTTCCTTGAATTTATGTGTTAGTTTTGTTGCATTTAATGTTATTCTTTTAAGGCCCAACGTGTTTTTTTACATGCATTTTTATTTCTCT